ATAATAATATAATAATACTGTGTTAGCTTGTCTCAGGGTTCCTATATTTAGTAATAATAATAATATAATAATAATAATAATATAATAATAATAATAATATAATAATACTGTGTTACCTTGTCTCAGGGTTCCTATATTTAGTAATAATAATAATATAATAATAGTCTGTTACCTTGTCTCAGGGTCCCTATATTAAGTAATTATAATAACACTATAATAATAATAATAATAGTCTGTTACCCTGTCTAAGGGTTCCTATATTTAGTAATAATAATAATAATATAATAATACTGTGTTAGCTTGTCTCAGGGTTCCTATATTTAGTAATAATAATAATATAATAATAATAATATAATAATAATAATATAATAATATAATAATAGTCTGTTACCTTGTCTCAGGGTCCCTATATTAAGTAATAATAATAATAATATAATAATATAATAATACTGTGTTACCTTGTCTCAGGGTTCCTATATTTAGTAATAATAATAATATAATAATAATAATATAATAATAATAATAATAATATAATAATATAATAATACTGTGTTACCTTGTCTCAGGGTCCCTATGTTAAGTAATAATAATAATAATATAATAATATAATAATACTGTGTTACCTTGTCTCAGGGTTCCTATATTTAGTAATAATAATAATATAATAATAATAATAGTCTGTTACCCTGTCTCAGGATTCGAAGGCGGCCATTATACAGTTCCAATTGCGTCGTTACTATGGAAACAGAACACACCACGCCCCCAAACTGGCAAGCGACCACCCTGTCCTCGCGCTCATTGGCACTTCCTGTTGTCATGGTTACCATTCATGGCGGCTCCGCCCCCACATCCTGGCAGTTTTTACTGGTTCCCGAGCCCCGCCCTTAATGAGCTCGCGACATGCGCGCGTGCCCGGGGGATGGAGGGCGGGGACTACAGCCTGGGCGGGGTTCTGCAGACAGATTGTCTCGGATTATCCCAGCAGGCAGGGCGCGGTCTTGATAGAAACCAGTGAGGGGCGGGGACTACAGCCTTAGAATAGGGGTGGGACTTTGTAAGACTGATAATGGGCGTGCCTAGCTTTCAGGAGGCGGGGTCTGGTCTTATCATTAGAAGGAAGACAGGGGTTTGTCAGCCAAGAACTGTGAAACGGAAGGCGTGGCTACTTCTGCAGGCTCCGGGTATTGCACTGTGCCAAGAGGCGTGGCCTGTCCTCCAGGAGGCGTGGTTACGTGCTGCCAGGAGGCGTGGTTTGTTCCCTGAGCTGTGCTCAGAGCTGGGTGCCCGCAGTGTGTTCCAGCTGCCGTGAGGATCGCAGGCTGTGAGGGGAGCGCGCCCAGCCAGCCGGGGTGAGAGAGACAGACAGACAGAGAGTGTGTGTGTGATATACCGTACTATATAATATATAATAATATACTGTGTGCGCAGAACCAGCCGGGGTGAGAGAGAGAGAGACAGACAGAGAGTGTGTGTGTGATATACCGTACTATATAATATATAATAATATACTGTGTGAGCAGAACCAGCCGGGGTGAGAGAGAGAGACAGAGAGCTGTCCGCATAGATATAGTGTACAATATACCGCGCAATATAATATATTATATATACCATGCATAATGACATTATTATATTATACACTGTGACATTATAATATACACTGTGACATAATATGATCTTATTATATACTGTGACATTATATTATGTACTGTGACATTATATTATACACTGTGACATTATAATATACTGTGACATTAGAATATTATACACTGTGACATTATACACTGTGACATAATATACAGTGACATTATTATATTATACACTGTGACATTATAATATACTGTGACATTAGAATATTATACACTGTGACATTATACACTGTGACATAATATACAGTGACATTATTATATTCTGTGACATATGATCTTATTATATAGTGTGACATTATATTACATACTGTGACATTATAATATTCCTTGACATTATATTATACACTGTGACATAATATGATCTTATAATAAACTGTGACATTATATTATACACTGTGACATTATATTATACCGTGACATTAGAATATTATACACTGTGACATAATATTATCTTATTATACACTGTGACATTATAATATACTGTGACATAATATGATCTTATTATATACTGTGACATTATAATATACCGTGACATTATAATATTATACACTGTGACATTGTAATATAGTGTAATATATTATACACTGTGACATTATACCGTGACATTATATTATACACTGTCACATAATATGATCTTATTATATACTGTAAAAAATATACAGTGACATTATATTATACACTGTGACATTGTAATATACTGTAATATATCATACACTGTGAAATTATAATATACCGTGACATTATATTATATACTGTGACATAATATGATCTTATTATATCCTGTGACATTATAATATACTGTGACATTATAATATTATACACTGTGACATAATATACTGTGACATACTGTGACATTATAATATACCGTGACATTATAATATTATACACTGACATAATATACTGTAAAATATTATACACTGTGACATTATAATATACTGTAATATATTATATACTGTGACATTATAATATACTTAATATATTATACACTGTGACATAATTTACTGTGACATTATAATATTATACACTGTGACATAATATACTGTAATATATTATACACTGTGACATTATAATATACTGTGACATTATTATATTATATACTGTGACATAATATACTGTAATATATTATACACTGACATTATTATATTATATATTGTGACATAATATACTGTGAAATCATAATATACTGTAAAATATTATACACTGTGACATTATAATATACTGTAATATATTATATACTGTGACATTATAATATACTTAATATATTATACACTGTGACATAATATACAGTGACATTATAATATTATACACTGTGACATAATATACTGTAATATATTATACACTGTGACATTATAATATACTGTGACATTATTATATTATATACTGTGACATAATATACTGTAATATATTATACACTGTGACATTATTATATTATATACTGTGACATCATATACTGTAATTATTGTACACTGTAACATTATTATGTTATATACTGTGACATAATATACTGTAATATATTATACACTGACATTATTATATTATATATTGTGACATAATATACTGTGAAATCATAATATACTGTAATATATTATACACTGTGACATTGTTATTTTATATACTGTGACATCATAATGTACTGTTACAAATTGAGTAAGGAGCATTCAGTGGGTACGCAATACTGGAATATCTCATTACATGAGAAACCAAGATATAAAGTCATATCCTATTATAAAGTAACAGCCAGTACAATTCTGGATGTATATATAAACGCCAAATCCGTAATGTATTAACATACTGTGACATTATATACTGTAATATATTATACACTGTGACATTATTATATTCTGTGACATCATAATATACTGTACTATATAATATACTGTGACATAATATACTGTACTATATAATATACACTGTGGCATTATATACTGTAATATATTATACACTGTGACATTATTATATTCTGTGAAATCATAATATACTGTACTATATAATATACTGTGACATAATATACTGTACTATATAATATTATACACTGTGGCATTATAAACTGTACTATATAATATACTGTGACATTATATTCTACGACATTATTATACATTGTGACATTATTATACACTGTGAAATTATCTTATGATATACTGTGACATTATATACTGTGATATTATCTATCTTGCATGATGCCATCATATAATATACTGTGACATTATTTTATATCCTGCATGATGGCTTCACATAATGTACTGTGACATTATTATATAACCTGCATGATGGTTTCATATAATGTACTGTGACACTATTATATAACTTGTATGATGGCTTCTTATAATATACTGTGACATTATTATATAACTTGCATGATGCCATCATATAATATACGGTGACATTATTATATACCCTGCATGATGCAATCATATAATATACGGTGACATTTTTATATAACCTGCATGATGGCTCTATATAATATACTGTGACATTATTTTATATCCTGTATGATGGCATCGTAACATATACTGTGACATTATTATATAACCTGCATGATGCCATCATATAATATACTGTGACATTACTATATAACCTGCATGATGCCATCATATAATATACTGTGACATTACTATATATCCTGCATGATTCAATCATATAATATACTGTGACATTATTATATAACCTGCATGATGCCATCAAATAATATACTGTGACATTATTATATATCCTGCATGATTGCTCCATATAATACACTGTGACATTATTATATAACCTGCATGATGCCATCATATCATATACTGTGACATTATTATATAACCTGCATTATGCAATCATGTCATATACTGTGACATTATTATATATCCTGCATGATGCCATCATATAATATACTGTGACATTACTATATAACCTGCATGATGCCATCATATAATATACTGTGACATTACTATATATCCTGCATGATTCAATCATATAATATACTGTGACATTATTATATAACCTGCATGATGCCATCAAATAATATACTGTGACATTATTATATATCCTGCATGATTGCTCCATATAATACACTGTGACATTATTATATAACCTGCATGATGCCATCATATCATATACTGTGACATTATTATATAACCTGCATTATGCAATCATGTCATATACTGTGACATTATTATATATCCTGCATGATGCCATCATATCATATACTGTGACATTATTATATAACCTGCATGATGGCTCCATATAATATACTGTGACATTATTATATATCCTGCATGATGGCTCCATATAATATACTGTGACAATATTATATATCCTGCATGATGCCATCATATAATATACTGTGACATTATTATATATCCTGCATGATGGCTCCATATAATATACTGTGACATTATTATATATCCTGCATGATGCCATCATATAATATACTGTGACATTATTATATAACCTGCATGATGCCATCATATCATATACTGTGACATTATATAACCTGCATGATGGCTCCATATAATATATATCCTGCATGATGGCTCCATATAATATACTGTGACAATATTATATATCCTGCATGATGGCTCTATATAATATACTGTGACATTATATAACCTGCATGATGCCATCATATAAATATACTGTGACATTATTATATATCCTGCATGATGGCTCCATATAATATACTGTGACAATATTATATATCCTGCATGATGGCTCCATATAATATACTGTGACATTATTATATATCCTGCATGATGGCTCCATATAATATACTGTGACAATATTATATATCCTGCATGATGGCTCCATATAATATACTGTGACAATATTATATATCCTGCATGATGGCTCCATATAATATACTGTGACAATATTATATATCCTGCATGATGGCTCCATATAATATACTGTGACAATATTATATATCCTGCATGATGGCTCCATATAATATACTGTGACAATATTATATATCCTGCATGATGGCTCCATATAATATACTGTGACAATATTATATATCCTGCATGATGGCTCCATATAATATACTGTGACAATATTATATATCCTGCATGATGGCTCCATATAATATACTGTGACATTATTATATATCCTGCATGATGGCTCCATATAAATATACTGTGACATTATATAACCTGCATGATGCCATCATATAAATATACTGTGACATTATTATATATCCTGCATGATCACTTTTATGCAACACAATAATCATAATGTAAAGTTACAAGGATTTCACACAGTGTCAAAAAGTTAGTGCCGGATCAGACTGGGTGCATTTTAGGACAATCATTGTAATTGTTATGTTAATTATATACGAGTAGTTCATAAAATATAACTTTGAGTAAAAGTAGAATTTACATTATGGAATTTAATAAGGAGCATTTTTATTTTATTTTTTACTTTTGTTCAAATCTAAAAATGATTTTTTTTTTTCATTTAAAATCTTTTATTGATTTTCGTCATTTCAATGTCATAAACATGAAACCGATGGGGGTGGGTTACAGAATGAAAGCAGGGAGGGGAGGAGGGGGTCCATACCAAACTTTTACATCAAAGTTTACAATCACATTTATTGAGATCTTTTAGTTGAGTCCTATACCTACATACACTTTTTCTACGACTCCTAATTTTGCCTATTCTTTCGGTTTTGTCTCTATCGTGTTGCATTTTCTCTCGTCCGTCTACCTTTACCTAGTGATTGACCCTAGGAGCTTGTCATGTCTAGTGGCTTGGTTGTCGGGGGTCTTCCGCTTTTCTCACATCCCACAGCCTCCAAGCTTCCGTGACCGTGGTAAACATTTTTTTTTAAATAATCTTTTTGTCCATTTTTTTTCAAAGCCAGTATAATGTACAATTATTGTAAGTAACATAATTGTGTGCCAAGAAATCAAGCCCTTAACTCTTTGGATTGTAAAATAAAATCCTCTGATAACTGTAGCCAAACTTTATCACTGGTGTTGTTCAAACATGTCTTTATTAAATCCTTTGGTTCAATGCGCTTTTAAAGTGGTAAATGAGAAATGCATCCAGCTGCCATGTTGGCTCACCCTAAACTGAAGCCATCGTGTCATTAGGATGCACTGGTTAATCATTTCCCATGATGCTGACCCAGCCCCCCTCTCATTGGTGCAAGCTTTTCTCATTTTTTGTTTTGTTTAATTTTTCCAACTTATTGGAGGCCAAAATTGGCCCCATTGCATTATGTTTTTCAAATAGGCAGCTGTCCCATAGAAAACTTTAGAATAATTGTAATTATTAACCCCTTAAGGACCAAACTTCTGGAATAAAAGGGAACCATGACATGTCAACATGTCATATGTCCTTAAGGGGTTAAATATTATTTAAGTCTGCCAAAGAGGACATCTGCGCAGAATGGTCAAATCCTAATTTTTTTACAAAATAAAAATGGTGGAGATATGCTAGGAGTCCTGTGACTGATCAGGCTAGAACTCTCAGTCTATTAATGCCGCCCTGATTGCGTGTCATTAATATAATCTGGAAGTTAATATAATGTGTTAATTCCGCAATACCAGCGTGGCTTTGAAGTGAAGTGTCTCTTTGCGTTTTCTATAAATTGCCATTCCCAAACGTGTACGGTTTCCAAAAACAGAACAATTTCAGGAATCGGTAACATTATTAGTCCACTGATCTCTGATTGTTTCTTTAAAACGTCATAATGACTATTCCTCATGCACCTGTATACTTTGTTTACTAATCCTTTCGTCATGATTCGGTTTCTCAGTGATCCACAAAGACTTTTTTCTTTAAAAAAAAAAAACCTCCTTTGCATGTAGCAATTTGTAATGTGATCCTCAACGCCAAGGCAGCCAAATATCCATTTATGTGCTGTGTTTGGCCTGATTAGCCCCTCGCTACTATCCATTGAGCAGAACGATGAATCTCGTACCAGTATCAGTGAAAAATAGCATACCCTCCTCATAAAATATCATTGCTGACATTGTATAAACCAATGGTTCTTAAAAGGACATTCTAAGCACCATAACTACTGCAGCTTTTTGTATTGGTTATGGTGCAAGGAGACTTTGAGCACAGACCCCAAAAAGTTTGAGAAAGTAAATAATGTGGTTGGTCTAAAAACGTGACCCAAAACCTCTCCCCTCTGCTTCCGCTGAGATAATGCAGAATTTTTACTTCCACATTATTTGCACAAATCTGTCTATGCTTAGATGGCAATGATAAGCTGCCGGCGAGGGCATTGATAATATTTGCTGCTTCCCTGTTTCTGTCATTTGTGACTCAAATGTTACCCTACAGCTTTGTGTCCCTTTGTCAGCCACAGGAATGGGAGGGATGTTTGCCATAAAGTAACATCTTGATAATACAGTATAATCTGTCAACACGCTTTATTCCATAGTGAAGGGACAGCGAAGGATCACTGAGGATCACTGTCACGTTTATGGTCTCGTATTGAGGCTTTCTAATAGACCGCCATGCTATCGTCTCCTATGGCTGGGAAATAAAGCTTAGTGAAACTAACATGACTTGCTGAGAAGGTCGTGTCCCGGTGCCCAGACACTTGTCTTTCTTGCTTGCAATTCTTCCCACATGGCATATAGATTCTTTACATTTATTAAATAAATCAATAAAAAAATTTTTTTTTTTTTTTAATATGATTTCTGGAGACACGTTTTGAAGAAGCTGTTCCTTGAAATAGTTTATGCTGCTTATTATTTAAGTAGAAAAGGCCCGAGGCTCTTCGAGCCATAGATGAATCAGTTCTGTAGTGCTTGCATGTCGACAGACCATCATCACCCTGATGTCATTCATCATTTGTACAATTGGACATCAAAATGTACGTTGCACTTTGGTGTAAAGCCTGGAGCTGCCGCTGTAACCCTTTAATTGCCAGAGGAAGATTGGAGTAGGGCAAAAGTCTTCCTGTCAGAACTAAAACATTATTAAAGCTACATTATAAGCTGCAAAATCACTTTAATTCTGTTTCCTTAAAGCAACACATTGGGCATCATAACAACTTAATTGGAATGACGCTGTTTTGATGTGCGTCGGCCCCCAGTGGCCAGAGTACCTCAAGGGGTTAAACCGTTAACAAATTGTTTGACCCACAAATTTGAAATCCTCGGCTTTTAGCTCTTCCTCCCAACTTCCACTGCAGTCCGAGGCTTGAAACAGGAAGCCTTGGACAAGAGCATCAGCAGTTTAGGAACAGCTTAATCCCGTGAGGTAAAACGGCACCCGGGGACTGCCTCACACCATAACAACTTAATTATGATGATGTTATTATGGTGCCTGGAGTGCCCATTTAGATGGATGAGATTTAAAATTCACTTTAAAAAAGAGCTCTAGAAAGACAAATGTAATATTAGTTAATCTAATATTATTATTATTATTATTATTAATAATAATATTAGACTAATTTAATATTATTAAAGAAAGTGGGTGTGTGAAGTAGTTGGGGTACACAAAATAAAGCGACTACTTGCTAAATATTTGGAATTTAGAGGCAAACTGTTCAGGACCAGGACATTGTGATTTACCTTATATATTAAAGTCTCATAGTATCGTTCCATTTCTTCTTTTTCATGTTGTATTTTTTTATCCCCTTCTCTGCTTCCAGTTTAGGAAGACATCGTGAGCACTAAAGAAAGATGGAGACTGTTGTTTGGGAGTGTGGCTAAATAAAGGAATAATGCAGCTAACACGAGCGCAAGATGATTGGCATTTTAAACAGCTTGGAATTGGAGAAGAACTCTACCTGATTTACAAGCATTTAAAGAGCTCTCTGTGATCAATGCAAAGGGGAAAGAACATCGCGATTCAAGCTGTCTGTGAGCCGGCATCCCGTGATTCCACATCATGGCCTATTCCTGGATTTCACGCTATTTCTGGATATTTCTGGCTCTCATTGAGCACACCTTGGCACACAGTCTCTTTGCTTGTGAACCGATTACATTGAGAATGTGCCAGGATCTTTCGTATAATTCCACATTTATGCCCAATCTTCTCAATCACTATGACCAACAGACGGCAGCGCTAGCAATGGAGGTAAGGAATGGATATATGATAATATGACTTAATTCTTTCACAGAATGTCATCATTCTATACCAACAGGGACATTGGAAAGTGTCCTGAAGTCTTCTTCTGTCCTAGTTATAGTCGTTTCATGGTCCTTGGAGAGCTGTCTGTGATTTATTGTCTTTGGGTCTGGATTTGTCATTGTTTAAAACTTTTTGTTTGAATAAACTTGTTAAATCTGGCGCTGCTTAAATGGTAGGTTGATTTTGAGCTGATAGAACACATTGCATTGATGCTTTTTATAGGAGGACATTGAGCAATGATCTAAAGGTTAAAGGTGAAGAGAGAGAGAGGTAATGTTTTACAGAATTCTCTGAAATTTTAATGGATTTTGTATAAAATGACACTAAAGCCACAGATGGCTAACAGTTATGCGACCTATTCCTCCAGAGAAATGACTAGGCAACAAATTAACGCCAGCCCTCAAAGCTTCTACATTATACAAATATTGCATTAAAAAGATGCAAAAATAAATATATAAAAGTGGCCAACCTATAAATTTGCAACTCTGCAGCCTCTCCAATGCTGAGAGTTTTCAGCCAATCCTGTCCTTTTCGATGTTCTGAATAGGAACACTGAGTAGATCCAAAAAAAACCTTTAACCTCCAACATGCATGTCTTTTACATATACTATAGTTATGTAATGAATTTTTCCCTGGGCTGTTTTTGGGTTGTTGTTTTTTGTGCTTTATGAAGTCTTATTTATTAACGTCTGTTACACTGCTGCCCAGCAATTTAGTTTTCTTTGCTTTTCTTTGTAATGCAAATGGCTCAGTTGAACTCGTCTGCCTTTTTCCCCAGCCTGGCCCACTCCCTTGATACCGGGATGACCCGTTTTATTTTCTGTCTATTGTTTCCTGGTATGTCTGATGTTTGAAGGAGCTTTTTTATTTTTAGCCTGTTAGAGCTTTAGGACATCTCTAATCAAAGTGTAATAAAACAATTCACTTTGTGTGTCTTTGCAGCATTGTCTCTTACCTTGAAGCTAGGAGTGTTTGTTGGAAACCATGATTAGAGACATACAGTGCTGCTATATAATCTGACTATTTGTATGGCTTTCATTCTGGTTTGGACTGGCCGGAACCTGTGCACCTGCAAAAATGATCAACTAGCCAATGGGGGGCAAGTGGCTAGTTCGGACACTTGGTGGACTCACACTATGTGCGTTTCCTTGGTAGGGAGCCATTACAGCATAACGGGTTGCAGACCGCTCTTGTAAGTGTTCATTTAAAGGGAGTTAATAAAAATTTTTTTAAATCAAATCATCGTGCAGAAAATGCATGAAACAATGCGTGCAATAACAATAAATTTAATAAAAAATAAATCCATTTCCCATTTCTGCATTTGCTGTAAATGCTCAGGCTTTGCATCTTCTGCAATTGTGGTTTTTGAGAGTTAATTTTTGGTCGTCCGCTTCCTGCTGTAGTGATGACATCATGTACAGCTGTATTACTGGCGCAAAGAGAGCACTGCTGGTTTGGGTGAGCTTACAGAGCACAAAAAAAACTGATTCATTCAAACACGTTCAGCCTTGGGTTTTTGTAAAACCCTTTTTTTGAGTCTGTCCAATCATCCACCTTATGGCCTTCAAAGGGTTAATCAAACCCATAAATTAGCATACTTCTGCATATGCAATGCTTATTACAGGCTGGTCATTCAGGCTGGTCATTCAGAATAATTTTATCAATCACTTAACATAAAAGTCGGCTCATCATAGGGGCAGGCTGGGAAAACTGGAATGTATGAGTAAAATATCCTAAACGAACGAGAACTTCCACTGACAAAACATAATGTGTATTCTATGTAAATACTGTGTTATGTTGCTACCCATTACATGTATAGCATTGCACAGGATGTAGATGATTAACATAGGCCTTTGTAGAGTACGCCATGGGTTAATGAATTGTGTATCCTCAGAGCAGTCATTGTTTATGTGGCCAATTTTCTAAGTTTCCCCATGGGAGGAACGTTAATGCACAGATGGAAGGAAATCGGAGCATCCTTGCACCTGTGTCACTAGTAATCCTGAGCTGGGTGCGGCTGGGGGCTGGTCAGAATACAAGGACAAGGCCTCAGTCACGAGGGGTTATTAACCAGGCATAATATTTTGGGCTACATCCGGAAACGCTGAAAGTCAAACCTGGACTTACCAGAATCAGCCAATCTCTGAATTTGGGACCATTGGTGGTCATTGAGGTTTGGTTTAAGACCCATATAAACGTATCTATTGCTGAAACAAATTTACCATGTGGCCTTCTTACACAATAATTGACAAACGCAGATGTGTCACATAAACATAAACATGCATACATAAAACTCTAGGCCCAAATGTCTATCAGGGTTATTAATTAAAGTGTGAATTGCCAGAGATTCAAATCAAATTCCACATTGTAGGCCTCAATATTTAAACTGAAAATCTGATTGGGAGAATATTTCTTGAATCTGTGAAAATGCCTAAAGATCGCATTTCCGAGTACATCATGCATTAGCGCCGCTCCAGTAGCTCAATGTATGGATGCAATGCGCTGCGCTATAATTCTATTAGAATGTGAATTGTGGTTGGCCTTTTGGTACCGAGTTATTCTAGATATCGAGTTGCATTTGAACCTGCTCAACCTTGTGTTTGTAACTCTGTAAACCCCATTCATTAGAAAGCTGTTAACCCTTATGTGTGTTTGTTCCTCTGTATATTTTGATTTATGAATTAAACGGCTGGATGCCTTGCCCATCCCCAGGCTGTTTGATCAGTAAAATACACTGTATTGTTTGCTGCTGGCTGGACATAAAACAAGGGGAAACCAGGACTTGCCAGATATGTGGATTTAATGGCTTTTGTTCTGTAAAACCTTAAAACAAAGTAATCGTGCAATTATTTACCATTATTATAAAATAACGTTAGACTAATTAGGCAGTTCATTATTAAGAATGCGTTGCAGCTCTGCTCTCTATTTGGGTAATTCCTAGAAGGGCATTTCTCCTGCCCCCTATTTATAGTTCTGCTGCACTTTGCAAATGTAGGAGAGCGGCCCATTAAACTGACTATTAATTGAAATATGGGCTACAGGGCACTGATCAACTAAATATTACATTACAGGTAATTACATTTCACAAGTAGATAAAATATTGGTAGTATGCCATTTTTATAACATAAAATATAATTCCAATTTGATATATTTTGATGAGGGTTTATGGCCAAGTTGGTTTAGTTTTTTATATATATAAATAACTACAGCTGGCTCCTGAAAAGGTACAAACATGGCAGTTCATGCAAATACATTTTAATTCTCCCCTAATACTTGCCTGAAAGTGTGCCTGGCTCTAATGGTGTTTTCAATTAAAGCAGCTATGCCACCTGAAAAGAAAATTAAACATTTCATGAAATTTAAAGGAACACTATGGTGTTAGAAATATGCAAGCACCTTAGTTTTCCCCATTGGGTTAATCAGTGCTTTCCTACGGGAGATTTGAAGATGCTGGATGTTCTCATGCGCATTGAATCACTGAGTCAAACTTTGTGAAAGAGCAGGAACATCTCTAGTGTTTGTCTGGAACAGAGTTACTAGATGTAGACTTAACCATGCAATATAACACAGTCTTAACCATGCAATATGACGCAGTCTAAACCATGCAATATGATGCAGTCTAAATCATGCAATATAACACAGTATTAACCATGCAATATGACGCAGTCTAAACCATGCAATATAACGCAGTCTAAACCATGCAATATGATGCAGTCTTAACCATGCAATATGATGCAGTCTTAACCATGCAATATGACGCAGTCTTAACCATGCAATATGACGCAGTCTTAACCATGCAATATAACGCCGTTTTAACCATGCAATATGACGCAGTCTAAACCATGCAATATGACGCTGTCTAAACCATGCAATATGACGCCGTCTAAACCATTCAATATGACGCCGTCTTAACCATGCAATATAACGCAGTTTTAACCATGCAATATGACGCAGTCTAAACCATGCAATATAAACATTGCTATTTCTCAAAAAATGCAATGTTTAATTTTAAGGGGACAGGGGCATTGCACTTAGACCTTCAACGAGATTAAGTGGTCTGGTTACCTATGGTGTCCCTTTAAGTCTTTATGAAATGCTCATGAAGACCTGAGATTCAAATTCCAGTGCAGTCAAAATCTATCCTAAAATGAAGTAGGGGCTACTTTGTGTAATGATAAATTCTCAAATTAACAAAACATGACAATAGGTAGTGCTACTGCCGTCAAGCTTTGTCACTTCCCACAGCTGGCGCAAGCACTGTCTGTGAGACTAAGGCATTATATTGCTCATTACAGAAGATTCCACAGTCCCACATGTGAACGCGTACAGCTCCGACATGGGCATCTGGCGGATGAAGCACCAGGAGCTGAAGGTTGAAGATGGCGGCACCTGTGTCTGGTGACATTGCCTGTGTGATATTGCCCCTTGGGCACAACAAGAGGCAATGTCAGCATCGGTGGTCTTTGCATAATAACAGATATTTTCCTTCAGTTGGGCTCATGTACTTGATTCCATTCTAAAGCAAGCAAATTATAGATGCTAAAGCATTTTTAATTGTATCAAATGAAAGGGATACTGTAAGTGCCAGGAATACAAAGCTGCATTCCTGGCATTATAGCTACCTGGCGCCCACCCCCAGTTGGTGCGTAAATGGTTAAAACCCTTTATTTACTTACCTTACCCAAGAGCCAATGTCCATTGGCACTGGGTCGCGACTCCGCCTCCTCTTCTGTCCTGCGATGAGCAGGCGCTAATGTGCATGTGTAGACAGCCACTAGAAACAGATTTAGTGCTGCAATGTCAACATTGTAGCACTAAGTGCAATAGGGACACTGTACCCAGACGACTTCCATAAGCTGAAGTGGTCTGGGTGCCTACAGTGTCTCTTTAATCTTGGTTAAAGTAAAATATTATTTACAAAAAAAATGGCAGCATCCGTAATGCCACTCAGTCAGCAAATTAAATTTGATATTAAGTACATCAATAATGTATCCTGGAATAAATATACAAACTGATATTTGCTTTGTACTTATTATTATTATTATTTTATTATTTATATAACGCCAGCAAATTCCATAGCGCTGTACAATGGGTGGACTAACAGACATGTAATTGTAACCAGACAAGTTGGATGCACAGGAACAGAGGGGTTGAGGGCCCTGCTCAATGAGTTTACATGCTACAGGGAATGGGGTATAGTAACACAAAAGGTATAAGTAGGGGTAATGACATAGGTTGCTAGAAAAGTATTCACTGAGAACTTAGTAGGTTATTTTTGACAGTGGCAAGAGAGGAATCATATAGGGGAAGGGGGAATCCAAACCCTGCTAAGTTTAAATGATGTGCTTTCCTGAAGAAGTGAGGTTTTTGAAGGTGTGGAGACTGGATGAAAGTCTAACGGAGAAGGGACGGGAGTTCCCCAGAAAAAGTGCAGCCCTGGAGAAGTCTTGGAGGCGAGCATCAGGTGTGGGAGTACGGACAGAGGATAGACGTAGGCCTTCGGCAGAGCGCAGGGGCCTCGACGGGACATACATGTGTATTAGGGAGGATAGATAGGTTGGAGCAGCATTATGTAGGGACTTGTAAGCAAGCACCAAAATCTTAAATTGAGCCCTATATTCACAAGGTTATAAACTAAATCTTGAAATGTCAGGCATTCAAAGTAGATGTCACATTTTAGTCGAAAATTGTGAAATTCTCCTATGCGGCTGTGCTATTATTTCATTTTTTTTTTTTTGGCCTGATATTTGAAATTAACTTTTAATTTCTTACAATTCACTCTTTAGTGAATGACTTCGTGTTCATATTAGTATTATGATTTATTCAATCATTTGTGAGTTGCATATTTTCCCAAACTGACTATTTTGCAATGAACAACCCTCTCCAAAAAACTTATTTCGTCTTAAAGTATATAAGGGGTGGAACCCAGTATAGGCACAGCTGTGCTACTTCCCTAAGCTCTGCATTGTGCTCCAGAGTGACGTTCTCTTCACTCTCTCTAGATCAGAAGTGTAGTCCTTGTGCAAAGAAAAGGTTTTCTGCACAGTTTGCATTTTATTTACCATTTTTCTGAAATGTGAAAGTTTTTTTTTTTTTTTTTTTTTTTAAGACTTTAACCCCTTAAGGACACATGACATGTATGACATGTCATGATTCCCTTTTATTCCAAAAGTTTGGTCCTTAAGAGGTTAACACATCTGTACTCTGCTTTCCCACATCTAGTTTAACAAAAAACTAAACTTTTTCACATGATTGTTTTGAAATCGGGGGTTTAACTTTTTACTGCTTCAACGAACTCTAACAAAGTCTAGCGTGACCACTCTAACCATAATTAATGGCTTCTTTTTCAGTGTGTCGTGTGAAGGAGTTTCTAGGACTACAAAAAAAAAAATTAGAAATTCAACTAGCAATTTATCAGATCTTTTGGAAAGAGTAAGTTAGTAAATATTTGCTCTCCAAACCACATCGGACACAATATTTTTAGATTTTGTGCTCATATGGCTCAAGTTGTCTTTCACTGACAGTCTTTTCCATTCACGAAACAATTGTAGACACTATTTATGTTGTGAGATCTTGCCGTAGCTGGGTGTAACCAACCGACTGATCCAAAAGACTTTGAAATGGGGGAAAAAAACATTAAATAAACAGGAATTCTCATTTTTCGCCTTGAAGGCAACCTATTCTAATTATTCGCTGCCAGTGGCTACTTACAAAGACAGTTGATTCATAGGCCAAGATATTTGACACTGGTTAATTCGCTGAACAGTACGTTGACATCTAAAGAGAATTGTTACAGGGTAGATAGAACAAACAAGAGACTGCACAAAAAGTTGCATTTATTTGAAGGACAGAATATCCAAAACATTTCGGGTATTCCCTTTCTCAATGCACCATGTCCCTAAATTCTCCAAAAGCAATTAAAAAATAAATAATAGAATTGTTACATTTAGAACTCAACAGTGAAACTGTGGAAAAAAAATACATTTTCTATTAATTATAATTTCTCTTCAACTGCAATCTTCTTACTGTTAAAAAGCCCCACTTGTCTGTGTCCTCATAGCTTTTCTAAAGGAAGAAGACCTTGCATTAAATTTACTAAACTATACACTGTGACAAATTGTAAACCAAACTGAAAAAGTTTGGCTAAAAAAGGAGATATTTAAAGAAAGAAGAAAAAATCCCCCTAATTTTGATTCTGGCATGAATTTATTCTTGGACACATTCATCATCACATTTGTAGAAACAATGTTAAACGCGAATTTGCACTCGTTTTAGGCGTTAACATGTAAAAAAAAAAATAAAAAAAAAAATTCTGAAATAGTGCTAGAATTAGGTTAGTTGAATTACTCCTGAAATTAGGTTTCTGTTTGATAATTCTGGTCTCACCGGTTTGCTCATTGCAGAGTTTGTTGTGGCTGCACCTGCCTGTAATGTCCGTGTTAGGACAGGGTAATGTCTCCACAGCTACATCATCTTTTTTCTGTACATTCTTAGCTTTGCTTTGTTCTAAAAACAAATTACCCACTTGTCTTCGGAGTCTATCTTGTCGTGTGGCTGTATGTTTTCTGTAGCAATCTTGGACTTTTGCACTTCCTATTTTTCCCTTTTCCACGTGACTGCTGGACCGTTCTGTTAGATCTTTTCTGTAGCACTGTTGGACTACTGCTAGATCTTTTTCATAGCACTGCTGAACCATTGATAGGTCAGCCAAATCGGTCTTCTAGATCTTTTCCATCATACTAGTGGAATTCCTCCAATCCTCTTCTGTAGGATTTTATGTATTTCCACCATATTTTTTTCCTAAAGTGTTCCCTTTGCTGGATCGGTCACCCTGATGCTGTCCATATCTTGTCTGATCTGTTCCTTTCATGTCGGGTTCTAGTCAATAAAAGCAAGTCGTTACAGATTTTTTCCAAGTCTGCTATTCCTTAGTAAATAAACCCTTTAGATCATTAATAGGGTTATTATCTTTTCTGTCAATACTTTATAGTCTTGGGAATGAAGGCTCTTGGATGCTCCATTTTACTTTGAATTCTAAGAATCATTGAAAATTATTGTTTTAATTCTTTCTTCAATACACGCATACAGACACCGGTAACTTTTTTTACGTTCTCATTCTTGTTTCTCATCTGTATCTTTAATATTTTGCTGTTAATACAACTTACTTTGAAAACTATTGTAGTAAATAGCCATCACACATGCAACATATCCCAGCAGATTGACCTATAATATAGGTTTTGGTTCCGGAAAGTCTCCATCCTAGTAAAACGAAGGATGTTTCAAATAGAACAAGTTGGAAAAAATATAAGTCACAAAACATGAAATCTTTATTTATCCTTCAAAAAGAATGAGATGTTTGGGAGCCACCAATTCTCACCCATGTTAGGAGGAGTTCTGTACAGCGTTCCCTTTTTTCCTCTTTAGTGAAAGGGCTTATTGAGGGGGAGATGTTTAAGAAGGAAGCCTTTTGTTTGGTTAGCTTCCCTCCTTTGGTGATGAATTGTACTTGCCTGTCATGCTGAGCCTAGTCAGAGGTCCCCGAGTCATTGTGGAAAAGGATGGGGTGTGAGGTTTCTTTTGTTCTCGATAGGAGAATCAGGCTTTGTGTCTTCACATCTTCCTTGCTTCGATAATTCCCTTCTTTGTGTAGCCCCTAATCAATACCAAGAGCGCGCCTAAAATCGGTAGGAAAGTGTTATGTCCAACTGACACAAATAGTGATGGATGTAACCTATTCAGCACAAGTGGGATTGCAACCCCTTTCTGAGTCCTCATGCTGCCAATGAAACACTTTCTTCAGCTGAATTACTCAACCTATCGTTCCTGTAAGTTTTCTTGTAATTGTCCTATTTAGTTACATCCCCCCTCTCATAATATTGTAAAGCGCTACGGAATCTGTTGGCGCTATATAAATGGCAATAATAATTAGCGTCTAGCTTTGGAGCAAGCAAGGTTGCTGGGCTTAAAATAAACCACCAGGTAGTCATGGCTTCAAGGGAAAAAATTAAAGGACCACTATAGGCACCCAGACCACTTCAGCTCAATGAAGTGGTCTGGGTGCCATGTCCCTCAGGTTTTAACCCCTCAGATGCAAGCATTGCAGTTTCAAAGACACTGCTATGTTTACATTTGGGGTTAATCCAGCCTCTAGTGGCTGACTTCTGGACAGCCACTAAAGGCGCATCTGCGACGCTGGAGGCATATTTAGCCTCCATTGCGCAGAGCGTCCATAGGAAAGCATTGAGAAATGCTTTCCTATGGACACTAGGAGTGCGCTAGCGGCACCTGCCTGCGCGTTCGGCTCCGCTGACGTCGGCGGGGGAGGAGAGGTCACCAGCGCCAAGGGAGCCCTGAGCTGGATTAAGGTAAGTGGCTGAAGGGGTTTTAACCCCTTCATCGTCACAGGAGGGGGACCCTGAGGGTGGGTGCACTATAGTGGGGTGGGGACACTATAGTGATCCTTTAAGAAAAACATGAATCAACCTATTCAGTTCTGGTATAGATCTCTATTAGTTTGACAGGGTTTTCAGAATGTGTTGTTTTTTTTTTCCCTTCGTGTCATTTGTGACTACTAAAAAACATATATTGAAAGATCTTTGTAGGACCAGGATTGGCCGCAGCCACTTCCTGGTCACTGCAGAACCTGAAGATTTGAAGAAGATGGTGGACATTCTTTGGGAAGAAAACCCAAACCACACTTACATTTTTTTTTTTTTGGCAAAATAGACTAATAAATGGAATCAGCCACTTCCTGTCCTAAAAATGCTTTCAATTATTCTTGTCCTGCAGCATTCATCTGTAAAAAGCATCCTTAGTTAAAGGGCATCTCACATTAAAGTCCGGTTTTAATAACAGGTGAATGTGACTGTATAATTTGTTTATTTAGTTAACTGCATGGTCACCCATAATCTCTACTTAGTAAATTGTGAGAGACATCAGCCACCTAAAATCATTTCCTTAATCGCAGGGTAAATATCCTGCCGCCCACATGCAGGGTGGTTTACTGGTGTCCTTTAGCCAGTGCAGGTAATCATTTAAAGACAAGGTAACGCCAGCAGCGTTTTACAATGATCCATTAACTAACAAACATACAATTATCTGCTTTATAGAACACCTTCTCTCCATTGTAGGGAAACAACTCGGTATCTTAGCTGCCATACCACAGAGATTACTAGAGATTGCTTTACGTCTGCATTAGGAAAACACGCTGTAGAAATGTATATAAATAACAACTAATTAGTTTCCAAAATATTGTTTTTTGGAGGTTTTTTTCTTGGGCGGGGAGGAGATTCTCTGCTTTTCTAATGCTTCTCAACACACTGATATGCAAAGTGTTCTTAAATGTCTAAATAAACAATAACATTAACTTAATGAAGCAGCAAAAGTAAGCACTGTTTGGGGGTGCAAATTATCACATTGACTGCAAGCCTCTTCCTTGTATCTACTACTGTTTCAGCTTTTTGATTCCTTACTTTTTAACTTATCATAGCATCTGCGACCAATTGTAGAAATGTGTTCTTAAGAAATGGTAAAAACCTATTTATAAATATTTAACAACAGGTTTTTGCAGGTTTGTGTGTGTTTATCTGAGAAAGGTAGCTATAAATGGGTAGGTACGTAGTTAGACAGATATAGGTGTAATGGCTTACTAGCTATAAATGGGTAGGTACGTAGTTAGACAGATATAGGTGTAATGGCTTACTAGCTATAAATGTGTAGGTAGGTAGATAGACAGAAATAGGTGTAATGGGTTACTAGCTATAAATGGGTAGGTAGGTAGATAGACAGAAATAGGTGTAATGGGTTACTAGCTATAAATGGGTAGGTAGGTAGTTAGAGAGATATAGGTGTAATGGCTTACTAGCTATAAATGGGTAGGTAGGTAGTTGGACAGATATAGGTGTAATGGGTTAGTAGCTATAAATGGGTAGGTAGATAGACAGTTATAGGTGTAATCAGGGCCGGTGCACGCATTTTTGCTGCCTTAGGCAAAAAAAATATTATATATATATATACACAAACACACAATGCCCCATACAGACACACCCTGACCCATGCAGACGCACAATAACCATACAGACGCACACTGACACATACAGACACACAATGCCCCGTACAGACAAATATACACAAACATATTGACTGAAGCACACTCGCACATTCTCTGACACACATCTTACCTTCAATGCTGTTTCTATGTCCTTCCATCTTGCCTGCAACTGGTGGCCCCACTACTTCTTTTTTTTCTGCACATTTTCTGACATGCTCTCGCCCACTGTCTCCACGTACAGGGGAAGCGGCGGGAGCGAGCCATTGAAGCACCCTCGCGCTGCTGCCGTCTTCCGCAATGGATGAATGGGAGTGGGTTCTGGGTGAGCGGGATGTATATGTTTTACCTGGCGCTAGTAAGCAGCAATGTAAGTGTTCCCTAGCGCCCGGGCAAAATGGCCAACGACACGCTGGAAATAAGAGGGGCGGCCGCAGCGGAAACTTGATAGAGCGGCGGCACAGACAATCATAAAGTAGTAGAGTCGGCACCCCCCTTTCAGAAGCGCCCTAGCCGGCCGCCTAATTGGCCTATAGGAAGCGCCTGCCCTGGGTGTAATGGGTTACTAGCTATAAATGGGTAGGTAGGTACATAGACAGACAGACAGACATACAGATATAGATGTAATGGGTAAGTAGCTACAAATGGGTAGGTAGGTAGATAGATATAGGTGTAATGGGTTAGTATCTATATATGGGTAGGTAGGTAGACAGATATAGGTGTAATGGGTTAGTATCTATAAATGGGTGGGTAGGTAGATATAGGTGTAATGGATTACGCCATAGGGACAGGAGTTAAATGGCAATCTGACTTTGTGTGTCATCCCAAAATGGAGGAGCAACTACTAAACTACTATTGCATTGCGTTTAGTATTTATCCTATGTGTACTATACAAAGTTAGAGCTTCGTGGATCTAATAAACAATTACTTTTTTCTTAAATTATCCTATAAAATTATTATTATTTATTTGCTTGTTTAAATGTTTGTACTAATTGCAGTAGCATTTTCTAGTATCCAAGCTTGTATTACTAAGTGGTTAGATCAAACCAAGTCTAATTATTAAGCACCTTTTGTGCAACGAGACACCTGCTAATAACACTGCAGAGTGAGACTGTCCCAACTGCATGTGCTGTTTACTAGGCCCTGCATTGTAATCACCTGCCCTGGGCAAGGAAGGTGCTATTAATGCAGATAACATCATGATACGGGCAGAGATAACAGGGGAGACAATAACAGCAGCTCTAGACAGTCACAGACATTACACTCTGCTTGTTAAGCAGGAGTCGTACTATAGAGACAGGTCAGACTGCCCGTGTCTCATCTACAAACCAACCAAACCTGCTTCGAGCCTCATGATGACCAAAGCTGGGGATGTCTGTCTCCTCTGTACTCTAATACACTCGTTTAGGGATTGAGAGATTACACTGTAAAGCAACTGACAGTCAGACAAATTGGTCACACCTTGTGTTTTTATTTCTGTCTTTTGGAAAGATTTAGAGTAAATTGGGGTCTGAGGCCGCTGGAGCAATGGATAAAATGTGAACAGGACAATGTGCGTCAGACATTTTTCTTAACAAATATTTTGCTTTGTCATTGAAATAACCAACATCTACTAATTTGAATTCAATTTTGACTTTTTCTTTGAAATATGTTGGTGATTTTATTATGTTACCTCCCCCTAGCAATTCCATGCGCAATATGTCTTATTAAAGTGGCAGCGAGAGGCACTGCACACTCACTCTGCCCTCAGTGTTAATAAATAAAGACCTCAGACCATATTGCCATTTTATTAGTAATTAACAATACACCCATTTTAGTGTGCATTTCCGTTAAAGGTAATTTTGTACCCCTTACAAAATGCCATACTACTGTTGCCAACTTAATCTATACTTGCTTAATACACTACCATGTCACGTTTAGGCAAAACGTTGCTTTTTTAATTTGCAGAGTTACATACTGTCATCTTTTGTTCAGTTACTTAATGTAAATTACAATCCGGCATCAGAAACTGATAAATAGCAATTTAGGATTTTTGGCTGAAATTGTACCGTTTTCCTAGAGGTAATGATATAATACTCATGGACAATTATGCTGGCCCCTCTGTCCTGCTCAAGCTAAGTCTTCTGGGTTAGCCAGACAAGAGACGGGTGGCAATGATTGTCTGAGAGTGTCATCTGAGCCAATTTAGAGTAAAAATTATGTAACTTGTGAATGATTTTAAAAGACTAGTCCTTTAGTCCTCGAAAACACTGATTAAAGGCGAGATGTAGGTAATATTCTGTAACTTCTGTAGATTAAAGAGCAGATTTTTAAATAGTTTAGTAGTTTTAGAGTTTGTAGTATATACAATGAATTGAGGCAGTGAGTCTAATTGGAGGAAAATATTGCAAATATATATATATGAGATGTTAATCATTTGTCTTATTTTGTGAATATAATGTGTGTTAAAATTATAAGGGGGGAAAATGGAGCAGAAACTCTGCGAGAGGAATGACCGTGGTGGAAAGCGGGATGTACACTTACAAAAATGGCGCATGCGCACAAAACTGCTGCAAATGTGAAAATGAATGTGACAATTTTTATACATAAACCCAATATGTATTTCACCTCTGGTTTTTATATTTTTGGTTTGTTTTGTTCTTACCCCTGGCCTTTGTGCCAGTTTATCTATCAGCTTGAATTATTTTACATACAAAAGCGACTCTTACTAGCCAAAATGCCATTTACGTTTGTATTGTAACTAATTTCATCAAAGAGAATTTCTTGTGACACCCATCATTAAGCCATTTACTCATCATTACACTGATTGCTAATTTCATATTGTCTTTTGTGAATATGTTGTAAGAGCTACACAAATTATGTTTGTTTTGGATTTTTGGAAACCAAATTAGATGCTTTTTATTTAGTGGTTTCATCTTTTTTTTATTATTAACATTGTAAAATGTTTGAACAATTGTCTTTGCTGCAGATCATGCAAATGTAGCTTTCTTAACAAACGTAATGTTTGTGGCAAAAGACTAGCAAATAGCTTCACCTCATAATTTTGGAAATATTAATAGGTCATACTTGGGCGGGGGGGGGGGAGTAGATTTTTATCTATTTGTTCCCACTTATGCACTAAAACCAAAATGTATTTTTTTATATACAGTATTTTTTTTTTTAAGCCAGATTACAATACGAGACACTTTCCCTGCAAATATTGCAAAAATGATTAAATATACCAAAAGCAATTAAATTAAAAATCTTTTTTTTATTTTATTTTTATTGTCAAATGAAAAGAGGGCACAAGACTGATGAAGGGAATGTGTAGAAGCAGTTTCTGGATTAAAGCAAGCTTCCTGACGGCGTTTCTGCTTTTAAAGGGGAATCCTTTTGTGTGCGAATCCCCAGTGCTCTGCAGAATGGTGGTTTCTATGGTTACGCGGCCCTTTGTGGCCTGACAAAAGTTGGCATTCGGATTCTCAGAAGCCAAATCTGGCCTTTGACTTGGGTACCCTTTTCACATCCCTCGCTAAGCTTGGCCTGCTGCAATGCATGGAGGGGTGGCTGTGGGGGGTTCCCATGGCTACCGAGAGGGAATTGTATAGGGAGGAGGTCTGAATAGGGAGTACAAAGACTTGGTTAATTTGAATCTGAACAATCTGGGCAGACTGCATGTCCCTCATCTTTGTACCAGTTTGCAACTAATAATTTCGACTGGACGGTTTGTCCTTCCATTTGTTTTCACGTCTTCAATGGTGACTTCTTTTAACTTTGCCAGGACAAAAGCTGACAACCGCCAAGGCGTTTAAAAACAAAAAGCCTCGTTTGTGACCTTTCATAAGCAAAACCGTATTCTTTTGCAGTACGTTGCTTGGCCTTCCAACCCTACACAGTTATGTTTTTTGATCAGAACCTCTGTTAATTAGTTAGGGATTTGATAAATAATACCCCGAGCCAATATTTACGTAGCAGGAATGATGGGTGGCGACGAATGCAGAATTGTCTTTTAGGGCAGATTCATCATGATTTTACAGGAAACCTTGCTGCGTGTATTGCTGCCTGGGCTTGTTTGCACGGTTTCTATTCCATAGGGATTGTATGGTTAGTCACTGTATTTAGCTCTGGGCTGGAGATAGAGGTCACGCAAGGCTCTCTGTCAGGGGCTCCTGGTTTTTCCGCGCCCCTGTCGCTGTATGCAACACTGACGTCACTAGCCTTTAGGATTGGAGAGAACCATTTTATTGTTTCCTGGATTTAATATCCAGCATAGGTCCATGGTGTATTTTGAAGCAAATAATAAGGGATTTATTCACTAAACTGTGAGCTATCGCAGTCTTCAAGCCAGGCTTTTTTGGCCTAAAAATGTAAATGTTCTTGTTAACTCTCCACCGCTCCCATTTTCATTCCCATTCTAGTGAATTCGCTGTGTATTCAAACTGTGAATACTGATGGAATAAAAACAGACCTGCGAAAGCATAAGGGTTACACGGCATTCTTTTTTCCAAATCCGCTATTACAGACTACATTTTGTGGTTTTCATTTAGCCTCGAAATGCAAATGAAGCTTGTTAAATGTGAGGTTTGAGGAATGTTTGCTCCGGCATTACATAGAATTATACCTTGTAAACGTAAAGTCAAGAATATTTTCTCAGAATCTGTATTATTCTTTATTTGTACAGTGCTGAAAATGATAGAGATGCAAACATAGAAAATCCTCAGATTTATATAGCGCCAACATCGCAGTAGCGCTGTAAGAAAGGTGGACACATGGCATTAAAGTCACTCATCCTGCCTGAGGTTGTTAGTGAATCTCTCCAGAAAATATGTGCTGGGTTCACTTTAAATAGTTCCTGGAGATAGTCTGAGCACGTTATATAATTAGTGGATTTGTATACACCCAGAGGATAAAGACTTTATTTTGTGCCAGGTAGATATATAAGTAATTGATCAGTAATTGGACACTGAAATGCAGGGTGAGGCGGATTTAGAATGCTCCACTCATTGCTTAATGCAAATAATTGCAACTTTACATCATTAATCCTATAAGGACCTGTGATTGTCTGCATCTTCAGCAATCTGCTCCTTAGTATCAGCTGGAGTTTTGCCCTGACACTCAAAGGGTTAACGATCCTGTTGGAGTATTCAGTGACACATTAAAGCGTTAATGATATGGCTGTGCAATCCATTGTTTGAATCACTGAGTGCAGGCTGTTAATACATTGACTGAAAGCCATTGTGTGAAGCTGGAGGAGCTGCACATTAGGGGGTTAATTCGTTGTACAGAGCTCTCATAGATTGCAAGCTAATTCCAGCAGGGCCATCTATATACTGTATGTCTAATATTCCCAATTTATAATTGTAAACCCTCCTAAATATAATGGTGCTTTATAAATGTTAATAATAGGAGAAAAACACATTACAGGGTTAATCAATTGTAAAAACTAGAGCATATGCTGTTTCTGTGCCAGCTCACCCTGCATTTTAATAGGAGGAGGTGCAGGGTTTGTCTAGTTACAGTGAAGGGTACCTGGTACCTTAGAATAATTGCTGTCTGATACATTTCTAGTAGACCTAGTTAATCAAAGTGATTGTAATCTGCATATGAATTAAAGGGACACTCCAGGCACCCAGACCACTTCTGCCCCTTGGAGTGGTCTGGGTGCCAACTCCCACTACTCTTAACCCTGCAAGTGTAATTATTGCAGTTTTTTTAAACTTGCAGGGTTATCTCCACCTCTAATGGCTGTCTACTAGAGGAAACCTGTGCTAGAGGATCGCTGGACGTCCTCACACTATGTGAGGACTTCCAGCGTCGCTCATTTCCCCATAGGAAAGCATTTTCAATGCTTTCCTATGGGGAGCGCTAATACCGCGCATGCGCATTGGGTCTCCCCACCTGGTGGGCGGGATCAGTCTCGCCCACCGGCCGACGGAATCAGAGGGAGGAGCGACGCGGAGGAAGAAGCCGCGACGTGGGACATCGTCACTGCCTCAGGTAAGTTACTGAAGGAGTTTTCACCCCTTCAGCAACCGGGGTTTGGGGGGACCTGCAGTGCCAGGAAAACAGATCCCTTAAGTGATTTACATATGAATAGCCAGGGTGGGAGATACTGAACACAAATCTTCAATAGTCTGAGACATACAGCATATACATCCCCTATATACTGAGACACAGCTTATAGACCCCCTATATACTGAGATACCGCGTATACATCCCTTATATACTGAGACAGCTTATAGACCCTCTATATATTGAGATACATCGTATACATCCCCTATATACTGAGACACAGCATATACATCCCCTATATACTGAGATACAGCGTATACATCCCCTATATAGTGAGACAGCTTATAGACCCTCTATATATTGATATACATCGTATACATCCCCTGTTTACTAAGACACAGCATATATATCCCCTATATACTGAGACACAGCTTATAGACCCCCTATATACTGACATACAGCGTATACATCCCCTATATACTGACATACAGCGTATACATCCCCTATATACTGAGACAGCTTATAGACCCTCTATATACTGAGACACAGCGTATACATCCCCTATATACTGAGACACAGCTTATAGACCCCCTATATACTGACATACAGCGTACACATCCCCTATATACTGAGACACAGCGTATACATCCCCTATATACTGAGATACCGCGTATACATCCCTTATATACTGAGACAGCTTATAGACCCTCTATATATTGAGATACATCGTATACATCCCCTATATACTGAGACACAGCATATACATCCCCTATATACTGAGATACAGCGTATACATCCCCTATATAGTGAGACAGCTTATAGACCCTCTATATATTGATATACATCGTATACATCCCCTGTTTACTAAGACACAGCATATATATCCCCTATATACTGAGACACAGCTTATAGACCCCCTATATACTGACATACAGCGTATACATCCCCTATATACTGACATACAGCGTATACATCCCCTATATACTGAGACAGCTTATAGACCCTCTATATACTGAGACACAGCGTATACATCCCCTATATACTGAGATACAGCGTATACATCCCCTATATAGTGAGAGCTTATAGACCCTCTATATATTGATATACATCGTATACATCCCCTATATACTGAGACACAGCATATATATCCCCTGTATACTGAGACACAGCGCATACATCCGCTATATACTGAGACAGCTTATAGACCCTCTATATATTGAGATACATCGTATACATCCCCTATATACTGAGACACAGCGTATACATCCCCTATATACTGAGATACAGCGTATACATCCCCTATATAGTGAGAGCTTATAGACCCTCTATATATTGATATACATCGTATACATCCCCTTTTTACTGAGACACAGCATATATATCCCCTATATACTGAGACACAGCTTATAGACCCCCTATATACTGACATACAGCGTATACATCCCCTGTTTACTAAGACACAGCGTGTATATATCCCCTGTATACTGAGACGCAGTGTATACATCCGCTATATACTGAGACACAGCGTATATATCCCCTGTATACTGAGATACAGCGTATACATCCCCTATATACTGAGAAACAGCGTAAAGATCCCCTAAATACTGAGACACAGCGTATAGATCCCCTGTATACTGAGATACAGCGTATACATCCCCTGTATACTGAGACACAGCGTATAGATCCCCTATATACTGAGACACAGCGTATAGATCCCCTATATACTGAGACACAGCGTATAGATCCCCTGTATACTGAGATACAGCGTATACATCCCTTGTATACTGAGAAACAGCGTATACATCCCCTATATACTGATACACCGTGTATAGATCCCCTGTATACTGAGACACAGCGTATAGATCCCCTGTATACTGAGACACAGCGTATACATCCCCTGTATACTGAGACACAGCGTATACATCCCCTGTATACTGAGACACAGCGTATACATCCCCTATATACCGAGACACAGCGTGTAGCTCCCCTGTAAATACAGCGTATAGATCTTGAGGTCCCCTATAGTCTGAGACAAAGTGTGTAGCTCCCCTGTAGATACAATGTTTAGATCTTGAGATGACTGACACATTACATATAATTCCTACAGACTGAGACACAGTGTATAGATCCCCTATAGACTGAGACACAGCGTATAGATACTCTCTTGACTGAAACGCAGCGTATAGATCCTCTATAGAATGAGACGCAGCGTATAGATCCTCTATAGAATGAGACGCAGCGTATAGATCCTCTATATACTGAGATACCGGGTATAGATCCCCTATAGTCTGAGACGAAGCGTGTAGCTTCCCTTTAGACACAGCATATAGATCCCCTAGAGTCTAAGACAAAGTGTAGTTCCCCTATATACTGAGACACAGCGTATAGCTCTCCTATATACTGAGACAGTGTATAGATCCCCTATATACTGAGACACAGCGTATAGATCCCCTATATACTGAGACACAGCGTATAGCTCCCCTATATACTGAGACACAGCGTATAGATCCCCTATATACTGAGACACCGCGTGTAGCTCCCCTGTAGATACAGCGTATAGATCTTGAGCTGACTGACACATGGCATATAATTCCTATAGACTGAGACACGGTGTACAGATCCTCTATAGATTGAGACACAGCGTATAGATTCCTTATAGACTGAGACATGGCATATAATTCCTACAGACTAAGATACAGCATATAGATCCCCCATAGACTGTTACAGCGTATAGATCCCCCATAGACTGTTACAGCGTATAGATCCCCCATAGACTGTTACAGCGTATAGATCCCCCATAGACTGTTACAGCGTATAGATCCCCCATAGACTGTTACAGCGTATAGGTCCCCTATATACTGATACAGCGGATAGATACAGCGGATAGGTCTGATATAGACTGATACAGCGGATAGATCCTTTATAGACTGAGACCCAGCGGATAGATCCCCTATAGACTGATACAGCGGATAGGTCCCTTTATAGACTGAGATTCAGCATATAGATCCTCTATAGACTGAGACACAGCGTATAGATTCCTTATAGACTCGGACACAGTGTATAAACCCCCTATAGACTGGTGCACGGCATATAGATCCCATGTAATGGATCACATGGATTTGGTTATTTCTATAAATGTACGGCAGCCGTTTTTGTCGGTATTTTAGGCCTGGGGTTCAGTATATTCCCGGTATTTATTTCACAGCAAGCAAAGTTTAAAACAAATGTTAATATGCTAAATAGACATATTCATCCAAATTGCAGATTTACGTCAGGATTTTGTATACCCTGCGAAATTCCTTTATGTGGCTGGTGTCTGTACCCAGGCCTCTCTGATTCTCTGCCTATTTTTCTATAAATTCAAGGAAAATAAAGCACTATGCATGTGACCAATTGGGTTGAAAAATAGATTGCATTGTATGTGCAGAGCCAACATCGGGGACACACGTTTCAGGGGCAGAACTCCTTCCTTGGTGCAAATGCCCAAGTGTGTAACCACATTTGGGAGTCCTGTTTACAGCCTTTTCCTGTATGCCGCCAGCGGGCTCTGTTTTGGCCACGGTGCTCCCATACTTTTGATATAATCTTTCCATACTAAAGTAAGGTTCTAGACATTCCTTTCAGAAGATTTCATTCCTTTACATCGCCTTCAAACAGATAGCCCTGTGTGCATCAACCTCTTACTGGCCATTGTGTCAGTGGAAGGATTTAGGATTTCTTTCATTTTAGATTTATCCAGATAAGAACAATAGATTTAACCTTTCCCTTTTCTCAGTTGTGATCCCTTCAGTCTGCTCAATGGCTGAAGTTTAGAATAAATTAGCTATTTTATAACCTTTTCAATGCCAGCTCTTCCTCCCTCCCTTGGAGAAGGGCTATTTTATTTCATGAGTAATGCCAGCTGGGCTCCTGGCTACCGGCACAGACAGCTAAATTTATATCTATATTAAGGTGGGTCAACCCTCTTCTTTGGATTTCCATAAGACCTATGGATATTGATTGATTTATGAGCTGTATGCATACATCAAATCAGTCTATACACTGACAGTGCTATCTTTTTCTTTATTCAGGAAAAGGGTTTCTCTGAAAATTACACGGGGCGTATTCACTAAATGGCAAATTGTAGCAAATTGAAATCCAAATAGCCAGAGGAATGCTAATATTCGATTTAGAGAATGTTTGAGGCTCAGCGATTATGCCATTTGCCATTCAGATTGTAATTTGGGTACAATTAGGAATTTTTGCAAATAACCGCGGACAGCAAGTGTCACGTTTTTATTTAAAAATAAATAAAGGATTATTCTAATATTGCTATTTAAGCCTCTATGTGAAGTATAGTTTAAATTTGCTTTGAATTCCAAACTATTCGTACGTTAGCGATTGAGATCTGTATCTGAATAAAGCTACAGAAAAGGATTTGAAGGGAGGCAGATGCAGGCTAAGATCATCGATTGAATATGTTGCCTTCAGGTAGGTATTCATTTGATCTATACATTGTAATGGTGAAATTACTACAAAGGCTTTTGTGCCTTTTGGAGCCATGTTTGTAGCCTTTGCCTCTATGGCAGCAGCATTGGACGTACACAAGGAAAACCCAATTTTTAATAAAAGGTAAATCTAAGAAAACAAACAATTCAGGTTGTAAAAATAAACTGTAAAAGTTAAATGCTTGTTTAGTTAAGCTCACAAACAGACATCATTACTTATTTACTTTACAGAATTGTGTAGACCAGGGGTAGGCAACCTACCGCACTAGTGCCATGCACGGCACTCCAGGTGTCTTTGCACGGCACTCAAGGCTGCTACAGCCAAACAGGCTCTGGCCTATGAGGAGTCCCAGTGAAACTTCAGATATCTGCTAAAATGAAAAGGTGGTCAATTTATGCATTGCAGAACATAGAGGAAGTGATCTCAGATCAGTTCCTCCCAGCACTTGTGAATGGGAATCCACACTGGAGTAGAGCAGCCTGCAGTTGCTGTTGCAGCTCCTGTCCTTGACCTGTACCTGGCCAGCCTGGTCCCCATTGGAACCCAGGGAAGCCACCCACACTGCTAGATATCCACAGAAATGCAGAATAACCCTCTCCTAATACAAATAACACAAACAGCCCACAAACAAACATACACACAATCTGCACAAACGTAACCCGCTAACAAACCACATACATGCACACAACCCCACATGCAGCCTCTCACATGCAATACCCCAAACAGCCCCCACACACTACCAAACACACAATGTGACATATCCATCCACACACACAATTCCACAAGCAGCCCCCATACACAGCCCACATTCATATGTATCATACAAAATACCATAAACTACTAATGAACATATACAATATAATAGCTCATATACGCACAAATACAACGATACAAAGCAATTACAGTAAAAATAACACAAGCAGAATATGGCAGCATACACACCTCAATTTAAAAAAAATAGGACCGGCACGCTATAGGTCATCACAATCCTATATCGGCACAGTGCTGCTAAAAGGTTGCCTACCCCTGCACTAGAATATGTTTTAAGAGAGCTTGGACGATTCAGAGAAATCACATGCGCATGTTGCTTTTTGCAGCGTACGTATTTTACTTTTTAATGAGCTCTACATTTTGGGGGAAATTTTGCTATTAAAATTAATTGATGGAATTTTTTTGTAAAATTCTACGTGTACTCTAGCAGTTAAAAAAGTAACGGTCACTAGTAAAATGTTTGCACAACCGAATAATTAGCCAAACGTTGGCTGTGGGATGTGTTACTTAGTAGTTTTTAGTGTGTCACTGTTCATGCACGTCACGTTATTAGTTTAACCCTTGTGGTGCTGTACTGTACAACTAAAGAAATGGCGCATGCGCTTTTAAGGCATTTCATTGTGAATGTAGAAACACGACTCCGGTGGTGTGGGCTGCTGTAGGTTTTTACTTACCTCTACTGTTTTATTCACCCCAATAAACAATGAAATTACATGAGAAGTGAAGGTTATTCTTTAAAACAGTAGATTTGTTCTGGCTGCTTCGGCCCTCACTGCAGCTAAAGGCAAAGGTTTGTAAGCATTTGTGTGTATTTTCTTTGTATAAACAACTCTTGGCACCCAGCCTTAACAAAGGATTTGTTTGACATTTTTTGTTTTAGTACAGAAAGTTGATCATACACTTTAATTCCTGCATACACGGCATTAAATCCTAAAGACAACCAAAAGCTACTATCTGCCAAACGTCTTAGAGGTTTATTTATTATAAACAATACATTTCGCACCAGTCTACTAAACTACACTGACCGCTGATATGTAGACATGTTTTTATTAAGGGTTTATTAGGGTAGTGTCCCTTTAATACAATTTCTCCACAATTCCCTTTTTAGTGACTAAAGCTCATTGTGGTTTGTTTCCGGCTATTATATGAACACTGTTTCTTTCACCGCCTGCTCTTTTCCCCTCAAACTGTATCAAATGCTTTGTCTGTGTGCCCTGTACTTGGTATTAATATCACCCAAAATAACACTAATTAAAGGTGTACATAGAGAATTGATTGATTGTTAATTATGTAGATTTAATGGACAGGATGTCCTGGTATTTACGGTGCTGAATCCGTAAAATAACACTGAGGTGGATCTACGCTGAATATTTATTATATATCCAGTCTGTAGGTCACTGAGTGCAAATTTCGATTTTTCCATATGTGTAGAAAATGAAAGGTTTGCCTTGTTATGTACTATGCCTGTTTGTCAGCCTGTTTGTGTCCAGGTTGGACATAGTCAAATTTTAGGCTTTTTGTCTAAGGAGACGCTGAGGGAATACTTTTTGGATTTTTTCTCATGAGTTGAAGTATGGGCTCTGTATGACCTTGACAAGAGACTCTGCTGGAAAAGATAAACTGGCAGCTGTCAGGTCTCCAACAGTGTAATGACAAACAGTGGGGGGTCTATACCTCAGTTCCTCCCCCCCTCCCATATGAATATCCAAACACAGACCTGCAGAACTGTTTGGAATAGTAACAGCTACACCCCCTTCTGTTGCTGTGCCAGTGTGTTTCACACAGAGTGTAGAATATCTCTGTTTTTTTACCGATGTCCTCTATAGCAGCACTGAATTCTATCTAGATTCCTAATAACCTCCTGGTTACCTGGCAGTTTGTATTTATTGCTATCATGTAAAGCATGTCCAAAATCACTGATGGCTTCCTCTACTTTTGGTCAGAAATCCCTGTTGCCCTCACCCCCATAGCTTGTTCAGAATTTACAGTACTTGAGTAGTTATTGCCTTTTAAATACCTTTATGCCATATACGGTCAAAAAGTATTAATGCCTTAATCCATAGCTGGTCCAGATCTGTTGATGCCTTCCTCATTTACTGGTCCACAGTTCCTGATTCCTTCCTCCATTGCTAGTCTAGAATTGCTGGGGAATTCCTCCATAGCTAGTCTAGAATTGCTGGGGAATTCCTCCATAGCTAGTCTAGAATTGCTGGGGAATTCCTCCATAGCTAGTCTAGAATTGCTGGGGAATTCCTCCATAGCTAGTCTAGAATTGCTGATACCTTCACTCTAGCTAGTCTAGAATTGCTGATACCTTCACTATTAGAGATGTCGCGAACCGTTCGCGAACGGTTAGCCGGTTCGCGGCGAACTCCGGTCAGCTGACACATCCCGGCCAATCTCCAGCAGACCCTCCCTCCCAGATCCTCCCACCTCCTGGACAGCATCCATGTTGAAGCTGCCTTCAACATGGATGCTGTCCAAGAAGTAGGAGGGTCTGGGAGGGAGGGTCTGCTGGAGATTGGCCGGGATGTGTCAGCTGACCGGAGTTCGCCACGAACCGTTCGTGAGAAGTTCGCAGACGGTTTGCGACATCTCTATTCACTATAGCTAGTCTAGAATTGCTGAAGAATTCCTCCATAGCTAAGAGAGAATTGCTGAGGCATTTATCCATCGCTGATCCAGAACTGTTTGTTTGCTTTCCTCCACGGTTGGTCTACAATTCCTGATACCTACACCATAGCTAGACTAGAATTTTGCTTCAATTACATAATAATAACCAATACTCCAAACACCAAATGAGCAGAAATGATTCGGATTTGTTGGCATGATCCGTACATTTTTTACACAAAAGTATTGCACTATAGCGCCTTCTTATCACTTCTAAGAGAAAATGATGAAACTCCTAAAGACCTACACGTGTGTGTTGCACCTGTCTGCAATAGAAACACAAACAAGGGGTTTTCTGGATTTTTTTTTTTTTTTTCAATTCTTTATTTTTGCAGTGCATTTAGTTAACACAGCGTGCATGTGGTACCCCAACGGCAATCCACATGCTTTTCAACAATATTTGCAACAGTAGGGTACATGTTAAATCTTGCACTATTTTATATTAATCTAAGATTTAGCAAGATCAGTCCTGTTTCAATTTTCTAATATATATTTGCAAGAACACTGGTGAGACAGGAGAGTAACATTGGTAGGGTAATTGTCAAGCATAGCATATGGCATATCCTCTTACTGCTATGAGGTGGATGCTCAATGTACTTAGTCATGGTATAGTAAGGGGTACCGTGAGCAGGAGCTGACTGGTTCGATCTGTCTAGGCTGGGACGCAGGTGTGCGGTGGGACAGACAGGCTGGCCAAACGTGGGGATTTATGTGCATGGTACTGTCGCTATAAAATAGGTTAAGCCTGTGCGGGTGGTCGGCTGTACCAGTCGGGTGTGGGCATAGGTCGTCTGATCGGTATGTGAGTGGCCTAGTTGGTGCGGGGATGTATTGGCAACGTTCGGTGAGTATTGTGGTGGAGATAGGGCAACTTCTCTGGGTGTCGTCCGGGAGTCAATCCGATCTTCTGGGTTCAGGTCGTGGCCCCAGCTCGGGGGGCTGAAGCTGTATCCCTGGGTATAAAGTCACGGGTGGCCGCAGGATCCCAGCCATGAGGGTTTGTCGGGCCCAGCGAATCCGAGGGCAGGCCCAGTGCCTGCAGGTGGTGTGTTGCATCCAGGTCTCGTATGGTAATGGTGGTTTCACCGCGTTTGATCAGCAGCGTCCGAGCCTGGCTCCATCGGTAGCTGATAGTTTTCTTGCGTAGGAGGGAGGTTAGAGGTCGGAGTGACCGTCGCCAGGCGAGGGTTCCCCCGGAGAGATCCGCAAAGAAGGTTATGGACATCCCTTCAAAGTTGTATGGTGTTTGCCCTCTGATGGCTGTCATCACGGCTGCTTTGTCCCTGAGACCCTGGAATTGCATCACTAGGTCGCCTGAGGCTGTGGGTGGTGCCTTGGCTGGTTTTGGAAGTCGGAATATGCCTTCCAGAGGCACTGCCTTAGCCTGTTTTGGTGTGAGTATAGCTGCTAGGAGTCGTCTAGCAAAATGGGGGAGTTCCTCAGGTGGAACTGTCTCGGAGACTCCTCTGAGTTTTATGTTCTTCTGTCTCCGCTTGTCTTCTAGGGTGTCGAATCTGCCTTCATAGGCAGTGCCCTGTTGTGTGAGCTCTTCCACCCTTTTTTCCAGCTCTTTAATTTGTTGTGTATGGTTTTGGGTTTTGTGTTCTACCTCACTGAGGCGGCCCGTCAGGCCTCGCAGATCCTCCCGAATCAAGGCCACGTCCGCCGAGATTTTCAGTTGGAGGTCCGCCATGATCTCCCTGATGGCCGTTAGTGTCACTGGGCCGGTGTCGGGTGTCCGGTGCAGGGGTGCCGCTCGTTCTGCCGGTTGCCGCACCATTGCTGGCGTGAGGCTTCCCTCTTCTTCCTCCGATGCCCCGTCGGAGAAGTCAGAGCATCCTCCGAGGAGGGACGCCATCTTACTCTCTTTTGCGCCATGTGCCTGCCGCCAGAGGTCTCCGATGCTGTGTCCCTGCCGGGGTCGGTCGGGCTTTAGTTTTTTGGTTTTCTTGCCCATGAGGTATACAGTGGGGGTTACTTGGGTGTTGTTTGGTTGTGGGTCACCTCTATTTTTAGGGGTTTTGTCCGTAGTTTGGCCGGAGCTCAGAGGCCATGCGACTGTCCGCTTCTGTGGTTAGGCCACGCCCCCTTTTCTGGATTTTTTAGCATGTGTGAGAACTCAGAAAGCTTTCATTGCACATTTGTGTTTTTGTTTTTTGCTTTTCCATATACGGTAACTTACAAGCAAAGCAAGTGCACCTTCTTTTGATGGTGAATTCTACATCCCAAAATGCTTTGCATACACTGCGTGCTGTAATACCATTTTATATCGTGCTTGTAAGCAAATGTTGGGTTTTTGTTGTGTGCAGTTTTGTTAAAAGAGCGAACGCACAGTGCCCATTATTAAAGGGGTTGGGAGTGTCTGCATTGAGATTTTAGTTTTAGGGCAATTTAACATGGTAATTAAATGCTTATATTTTAAATATGAGGCAAACAATCTATATATCTTTTTGTTTCAGAGGACAATAGGGCAAACCAGTAACACATGTCACATAGTGAAGCCATTAACATTTTAAATATTTTATGTTGTGGCTCTTAAAGTACCCACTGGTACTGCAGCTTTACATTCCAATTTTTATATGCATTTTGCTGTTTGACCTTTGTCTAAGATCTTACACATGTAATGTATTCAGGAGTGAACAAATTTGTAATCTCAATAATGATTTCAAAGACTGTCAGACACTCCGTTTTCTTTGCCTCGGGTCAGAGAGGAACGCTGGGATAGTTCCAAACTAGACCATACTTTTTCAATGACTCTCACTTATGTATTTTAAGAGTCTTAAGCGTTTTTGTCTAGACAGAACGCACTTGCATACGAACCACTCTGCTTTCAAATAATTTTCGTACCGATAATGTGCTTTATTTTAACTTTTTGCTGCCAGATTTTTTAAAGAGAAAGTCAGTTTTCACTTGTTCTATGTATTAAACTCGACCTTTCATCTACAATTGAGTGCGTGGTAAATTTTGGGTAAGTATTGAATTGTAATCAAACCAGTATATTCTCTAAAGTGTGAACCTGTGCCTTTCACATGTCTATTTCATGTTTTGTAAAGGAACACTCCGACCCCTATAACCACTTTAGCATATTACGTTTTTATTGGGGCAGGTGTGTGTGGTGCCTGTCGCGACTACCCTCCAGTACTCACACCCCATAATGATTTAAGCTAATTTAAGCCAGCGGGTAGATGATATTCTCAGCCAATCAGTGAGCTCAATGCTATACTTCATTGTGGTGGCCTAGCGGAGTAGGATCAGGATAGGGCAGACAGAAACCCGGGGACAATCTTAGGTAAGACTGTGCACAGGGACTCCAGCCTTAAATCAACTTTATTGAGGGAAAGAGACCCATTAAATATTAGAAATTTAGCAAAACCATTACAATGCAGTTTAGTCCGTGCACAGCCACGGCGCACAATGCATTTGAGGGAGAGAAAGACAACATTGGGTCTTCCCCTTCACATTCCATGTTAAATTACAGAAAATAGCCAAGCTTATAGCATTGATTGACAGGGCACCAAACAAAAGGAACTCACTACCAAAATAGGAGTAAATACAGCAATGTGGATTTTACATGCTCAGAAAAAGAGACTTGTTAAATATAGAGGTTACTACTCAATCTTTGTTTTTTACCTGTATTGTCTTGTAGACGATGCTCTCACTGTACAAACCGGCCATAATGGAAATATATCTTATTATAAAGGGGCGCACTCCATTTGCTAGCTCAGCAGTGGCGGCTGCATGCATAATATTTACTTCAATGTAAAGGGTTTTATTTTTAATAACTCACTACGCCTCAAACATTGGTTATAATTCTGAGTTTTATGCCATTTCTATCCTTCCCACAGTCTGCTTATTTAGTGAAAATTACCATTATTGAATTGAGATTCTAATAAATTTTATAAATTTGGTATTTGACACATTTTATGCAGACATTGACCTACGTGTTCTTTATTTTTCAGCCATTCCACCCCATGGTGAATCTGGAGTGTTCCCGTGATTTCCGTCCCTTCCTGTGTGCGCTCTATGCCCCTGTCTGCACAGAGTACGGGCATGTTACGCTGCCCTGTCGTAGGTTGTGCCAAAGAGCCTACAAAGAATGCTACAAGCTGATGGAAATGTTCGGAGTGCCTTGGCCCGAGCAGATGGAGTGCAGCCGGTGAGAGCATAATGGGTTCATTGGAAACATTAGTTAAAAGGAATGCGTGTGACATTTGCATATTTGATTTATTTATAAAATATTTTACCAGGAAGGATACATTGAGATTTTGTTTGTTTTCAAGTATGTCCTGGGTCCACAAAACATTGCATTGTTACATTAGGGTACAATATTAAAAAATAATAATACAATATACCAGGGCTTGACAAATTTGTTTGAAATCTAGGAGCCAGCTAAAAAAAGTTAGGAGCCAGTTGTTTTTAAGGGACACTATAGTCACCAGAACCTCTACAGATTAATGTAGTTGTTCTGGTGCCTATAGCCTTTTCAATGTAAACACTGCCTTTTCAGACAAAGGCAGTGTTTACATTGCTGCCTACTAAGACCTTCAGTGACAGTCACTCAAACGGCCACTAGAGAGTCCTGTGTCAGTGCTCTGCTTGGAGGCGCTTAATGTTACCCATAGAGAACATGTGTTATATCCTCCCAATGCTTTCGTATGGGAAAGCATTGGCTTAGCTGAGATCCTTAAGATCTCAGCTATGGAGGCGGGACAAACCACGGCGAAACCAGCACGGCGTGGAAAACAATGTGAGGCAGGTACCTAAACAGACACACACTCCCTCACAGACATACACACGCATACACACACTCAATGACAGAGACTTACACACAGACAGACAGACATATATATATATATATATATATATATATACACACACACACACACAGACATATACACATACACGCACACATACACACTTTCCCTAACACATTTATATTTTTAATTCTAATCCACCCAGCCTCCCTACCTTTGGGAGAGCTGAGTGGACTTTCCCTGGGGTCCAGTGGAGCTGTTATCTACCTGGGTGCGAGGGAGCAGCCCCTCTCTGCTCCCTCGCACTGTCTGCAGTGACACCGGGGCCGGAATGACGTCATATTCCGGTTCCCGGCATCATTACACAGTGCAAGGGAGCAGAGAGGAGCTGCAGGAAGACTGCTCCCTCGCGCGCTGCCCCAGCCTGTCGCCTCTATGCTCTCCAGGGCGGTCGCTACATGCTCACTGAGCCGGCCGCCTCCATACCTCCCAGGACGGTCGGCTACATGCTTCCTGAGCAGGCCGCCTACATACCTCCCAGGGTGGTCGGCTACATGCTTGCTGAGCAGGCCGCCTACACACCTCCCAGGGTGGTTGGCTACATGCTTGCTGAGCAGGCCGCCTACACACCTCCCAGGGTGGTCGGCTACATGCTTCCTGAGCAGGCCGTCTACATACTTCCCAGGGCGGTCGGCTACATGCTTTATGAGCAGGCCGCCTACATACCTCCCAGGGCGGTCAGCTACATGCTCCCTGAGCAGGCCGCCTCCATGCTCCCGCAGGCTCCATTGTTACCCAGCCAGCCACTTTAGGGAAAAGGCTGACAAATCCCAGGCACCAGAGCAATATTTCTATTCACCATGGCTACCTGGCACCTGGAATTTGTCGAGCCCTGCAATATACATTATAATATTATAAACACATATATAAATTTAATACAAAACTGGTAATAAATATATTTAACCATAACAGGTGCATCCTGTATTGAGGTATATTGCCATAGATCTCTTTAAAGATTTTAGATTGAAAGAAGATTTGACTGTGTCCCTGAGGTTATTTCATAATTGTGGTGCTCTGTAGGAAAAGGAGGAGTGAGACACTTTATTTTTATATTGCGGTATGCTAAATATCGTGCTAGTATTGGATAGGAGGTGGGAACAGCTGGGGAGAGCATTCTACTCAGGTAGGGCGGGAGCTTCCCATAAAAGTTCTTATGCGCAAGGCTGGAAAAATGAAGAGTGCGTCGGGATTCCAGCGACAGCCAGTTTATATTCTTACATTCGTCAACATGGGGGAGCCAAACAGCAAGCAAAAAGTTGTATACTTATCCAGTACCCACGTGTCGTGGACACAACTCTTCCCATTAAAACCTGAAACCGCAGTGAGGCTGCTGACTGTAAGTCTTTGTCGCTCAGGCAGTTACACTTCCTTATTAATTCAAAAATTCCATTCCAAAGAATCATTTACTGATGTCTATGGAGTTTGCCTCCAGTACACAAACTCAGGTGCTTCTTTCTAGGTAACACGTGTAATGTGCGGCCAAGTACGAGAACCACCAGTAAACAGAACAATGGGGGAACAGGGTGAATCCATACTACCAACATATATAGTATTTCCTGACAAAGATTATTAAATGTGTAGGTGACTATCTAGGAATTTCGCCAAATTCATCAAACACACGGGGAACGTTAATTTAAAATAGCTGTTTTTTCTGGTTGTGTTGTATTTTTAATTTATTTTACCGTAAGGAACATATCCAGGGTTTTTCGTTAAATTAGGAATTCTCTGCAATTAAATCCAGAACCCCCAAAAAAGTCCAAAATAGCAGAGCTGGAAAAATACACAAACTCCCAGCTTGATTGCCAATTTATTGAATAACACTTTATTACAAAAAGTATTCTGTGTTGTATTATTTTTCTTATTAAGCATTTTTTTGTAAAACCTTCTAATATTGTATAGTTTGTGCAGTTATTTATATTATTTAACTCGGATGTTTTACAGCAATATTAAAGCAAAGAAATTGAAATCCAAAAGAAAAATTATTTAAGAAAAATAAAATAAACGTGTTCGGATGATATAAAACATTACAGGGTGACACTTATTTCAGTACACAATATCCTCACATTGCAGGAACATTACAATTACGTGAGACGGTCAGATTGGTGGATTGTCTGCCTAGGGATGATGTATTGGCTAAAATGGTGGCATGCATTGCTGTATAAATATGACGAATTAAGTCAGAGGCCAATTGAGGTAAGAGTTGACCTGGAAGGAGACAGCTGGAAGACAACTTGTTGCTATAAATTAAATCCGAGGAAGAGGTTGTGACAGGAGCAGTATACATGTAACATTCACAAATTCCCGGGTTTTCGTACTTTTTATAGAGAGAGGATGTACGGCTGGGTCTGATGGGTCTCTGAAACCTTTTACCGTAACAGATCGAGATTATCAATAAGTTAGTGTTCTGGCTTTGTTTCTCTGTATTCCATATCCATTAAAGTTTTACTAACCCATAATGTGCCTAATGAAAATAACTACCCAGAAGCTGATAAATTAAAATCCAACTGCCAGAAACAAACGTAAATCAGGATTAGTCACAAGCTAAAATATTAATTCATGGACTGGGCCGGACTGCCATGCTGGACTGTCGCAAGAGAGATCAGCTTCTACAATATACCAATCTTTAAACTAATAAACTCTGATTTTCTACCTATTTGCCGACTAGCAGCTTTGGCCCGCAGTGTGAAGGGGGTACTGGATCCGAGGCAAGGCTTGCTCCTTGAGTTTTAGTCCCTTGGAGGAGAAATCTTCGTTGTCCCAGATGAGGCCTACTCCGGCAGTGAGTGGAGCAGATGGCCGCTGCTCTACTATCCTGCCTAACAGTACCCAGCCAGAAGCCCAAAAGCAACGTGGAAATGGCTCTCTGGACTGGTGGGAGTGGCCCCAATCGCTAAAACGCATCCAAGACCCAGTGATAATGCCATCCCGACCTGCAGCCCAGGCTCTTCACCTAAAATGTCGGAGGCCATGTGCGCAAGTGCCGATGCCAGAGGGACTACCAACGTTCCCCCTCACTCAACGCAATAAGCGTGGTTTCTTGGCACAGGCTGGTCCACTATCTGCAGCAGCCAGCTACACGCACAAAACAGCTCGATGCTTACCCATGGAGATTCAACGCAGGGCCTCGGCTCCGGTTAAGGGGCATCCCCGAAACAGGCGGAAGAGATGGAGACACATCAGGCCAGTGCGCGCAACACACCAGCTGCCATTTGGAAATTTACCCGTGAAAACCTACCCTCAAGTCGGTCCAGGGAGCTGGTTTCCAACACAAGACACCACTTCCTTCCCTGGATTGCCATACAACACCTCCCGGACAGCCGTGATGGAACAGCGCCACACACGGACAGCCGACTTGCAGCAGAACCACGCTAAGCCCATAGAGAGTATCGGCTAAGCCGAAATTCACGAGGACACTCTGCATGTATGTCTCTATGCTCCAGTTCTACTGAGTATGTGCATTGCATTACCGTGCTCTAAGTTTCTGTGATGAGCCAACCTCACTGATCATACCCATGCTTAAATACGGGGGTCTATGGGGTGAATTTATCTCCCACAGTTATTTCAGCTATCCAGTTTATTACAAACTACATGCATTGATCCTCTTATATCTCTCTAAGCTGGAATGTTTAACCTATCTAAGTCTTTTATACTCATATTCCAATCTACTCCCAATACCTATTAAGCAATAGACACTCGATATTGCCTTAAGCTAGCTTGCTTAACCCCTTAAGGACCAAACTTCTGGAATAAAAGGGAATCATGACATGTCACACATGTCATGTGTCCTTAAGGGATTAAAATATTAAATTGTGCATGTGTTCTCGATTACCCCAAATGTAAAGCCTGATAATATGCCTGAGGATTGCCATTGGGGTACCTCAATCTTGTTTGTAATATTCTTATGCACTTCAAAAATACTAAATTAAAAAATGGTATATGATTTCACAGTAGTATATATATATTTTTAAATAATAAAAAAAACTTTGAAAGTGTTTTCGCTTCGGTTCATCAAACACCCCTTTTTAAAACTTTTTGTTAATGGTGTAGATTTTTTATTTATGAGAAGTCTTTTATAACATATTTATAAGCCTTCCAAGTCCGATCTGGCAGTGTTTTTGTATATTGTCTTTATGGAGCATGCAATCAGGTTCTGTGAGGTCTGAAATAGGATCCCACCTGTTGTATGTATGTGCTCCTGCTGCACTGTAAGCTAACGTCTTATAGAAGGAACTGAGAAATAAGTCATAAATCTCCTGGGCAGCTCGCTGGGCCTGCTCGGGATTGCAGGTCATGGAAGGTATCATATAGGAGTGTAATACGAAGAGCAGAGCGATCTGTAATGTAATATCCCACAGTAACCTCACAAGTTTATTCACTGAACTGTAAATTGTAAGGAAACCAAAGAGAAGTTAAAATTTTAGGAAAATCTAGCTAGCTCTGAGAATTGTTCCGTTTTGACTATTTTTGCCTGAAATATGAAAATTCACTGATTTCTGAACAATTCAGATTTTAGTGATTAGCCCAGTAAGTTGGTTTTGGAAATTACTCACAAGGGGGGTGCAGGTACAGTTTAAAGTTATGTCATTAAAACTTTTCTTTATTTATACATCTGATGATTTATCATTTTCATTCTTTATTTAGATTTCCTGATTGCGATGAGCCATACCCACGACTTGTGGATATCAACCTGCCTAAAGAACCAACGGATAACGCTCCGTTAGCTGTACAGAGGGATTATGGCTTTTGGTGTCCAAGAGAGCTGAAAATTGACCCTGAGTTAGGTTACTCCTTTCTAGAAGTACAAGACTGTTCCCCTCCCTGCCCTCACATGTATTTTCGAAGGGAAGAGCTCTCATTTGCCCGATATTTTATTGGCGTAATATCAATAGTTTGCCTCTCCGCCACCCTATTTACCTTCCTTACGTTTCTCATTGACGTTACCAGGTTCCGTTACCCCGAGAGACCAATAATTTTTTACGCAGTCTGCTACATGATGGTGTCACTGATTTTCTTCATTGGCTTTTTGCTAGAAGACCGTGTAGCCTGCAATTCTTCCAGCCCAAGTCAATTTAAATCCTCCACAGTCACACAGGGATCCCATAACAAAGCTTGCACCATGCTCTTTATGGTACTTTACTTCTTCACTATGGCTGGCAGCGTGTGGTGGGTTATCCTTACTATTACGTGGTTCCTTGCTGCCGTTCCAAAGTGGGGGAGTGAAGCAATTGAGAAGAAAGCACTATTATTTCATGCCAGTGCATGGGGAATCCCAGGGACTCTAACCATCATCCTACTTGCCATGAATAAAATTGAAGGGGACAACATAAGTGGAGTGTGCTTCGTTGGTCTCTATGACGTTCATGCTTTGAGATACTTTGTCCTAGCTCCACTTTGTCTGGACGTGGTGGTTGGGGTCTCTCTGTTGCTGGCAGGGATAATTTCACTGAACCGCGTACGGATTGAAATTCCTTTGGAGAAGGAGAACCAGGACAAACTCGTTAAATTTATGATTCGTATTGGTGTATTCAGTGTACTTTACCTCGTCCCACTATTGGTGGTGATTGGCTGCTATTTCTACGAGCAGGCTTACCGCGGGATATGGGAAACAACGTGGATCCAGGAAAGATGCAGAGAATACCACATACCATGCCCCTATCAGGTAATACTTTGTTTTCTTATATTTATAACCGTGCTCTTTAATAAATATGCGTGTTATAGGTATATATACACACAGAGAGAGCTGTATTCACCTCCCACAGATGTAGCGCTTTCATGAAATCTGTTTGATGGCTGCATACATAAAAAAGTTAGAGACACTACAGGCACCAAAACAACTTTAGCTTATTAAAGTTATTTTGGTGTATAGATCTTTTATATAGCCCTTGCCGCACTTCCCCTAAATACTTCCTGTAAATAGACATCTAATGTTTAAACTTTATTTATTGCACAGTCTGTTTCATCTATTTTTGGGAATTTCACAGGCCACACGTGTCTCACTAGTGCAAAAAAAAACAACCTATTTGTATTGTGCTATTGTTCTCTCGAACAATGATACTCCACATGTATACATGTTCCCCTAATTCTGCCCTTAGTCTTGTCCTTAATGCAACCTTTAATCCAACCCATAATGCAACCTCTAGTCCAACCCATAATCTAACCTATAATGCTTCCCATAATTCATCCAAAAATCCAATCTCTAACCCTACCATAATCCATAAAACATATTCTAACTCATAGGCTATCTGGGCAGCTGGGAGAGGCTGTCACTGATCCTACGGCAGGGGGCAAACAGGCTAACCTCCCCAGGGTCTATTCAGACATTGGGGGTCTCTCTGACACAAGGGTTGGACAGTTCCAGGCTGAAAGGGGGCAATGGGATTTTTTAAATTGCCGCTATAGGGCGATCTTGCTACCTCTGCATTTTAATACTTTAACGTGAGCAGAGCTCACTTTGAGCCAGCTGACAGAGGAGATCCCTTTTTATTTTTTATTTTTTGATAAATCAGGCTGGGAGCACACGTGCATTATAGCTCAGTTGTGGTATTTAAAGGGCTGTGTGCAGCACTCACTTTGAGTGCTGCTCATAGCTCATCTGTCAGTATGGGGCCACTAATCCTCAGATTTTGAAACATTCCTGGGGGCCCTTAGTACCAGCAGGGTTTTAACCCCTATTGGTATCTTTACTGCATGGCGGTCTATGCCGTCACTGGGCGTTACAGACCTGCCCTGCATGACGGTATAGACTGTCATGTGATCCATAATTGGTTAAGCTAAAGTTGTTTTGGTAAGTGGAGCACTTACGGGACTATGAAACATATACTTCTTTCATTCGTAGATTTAATAAAATGGACTGAATTCTTGTGTCAGTGCTCCACAGTTTTTGAAGGTTTTTTTTTGTGTATGTTTGGGTGTGTGTATATATAATACACACAAAGACACAATCACATTTATATTTTCTGCTTTTTGGGGATTACCAGCACTACCATAAATTAGTGAATTACTGAACAAGCTGCACAGATCCCACTTTGCAACGTTTTAGTTATTTGGGGCAAGACTTGTGACAAATTGTTGTGAATTAAAATATCTGCAAGGAATTATTGGAAGATGATATCTTGGAAACAGAGATACTCATTGGGAGGTGGATTTTAATTTACGTCTGCTTGATATTTCACTCTAATAATGGGCTAAATAAAACTACTTAAATATATCACTAAGTTTAATGGCTTCATTCATAAAAATGTGCAATGAGGGTTTTATGGCTATCTTTTGTTCACATTTGGAAATATTTCCTATATAAAGTGTTTGTACATTGTGTGATTCTTTCTGCTATAATTTACCAGAAAACGGTCTGTGCTCCTTCGTCCTGCATCGGCCGGAGCCAGCGGATTTTTAGGGGACCGCTGAGTTTCTATCAATGCCGTCGAGATGCAGTGTCATGCAATTCTGAAACCTCTCATAGCCCTTTCTTCTTGTCAGCTTAAACACGATCACTAGCTATTTCCTCTACACGCAACGTTTTTGTTTTGTTTTTGTGCTGAACCCCTAGCATTGTCATTTATATAAAACGGGGGAACATTTTGTGTGTACACACATATATACACACACACACACACTAGTTCTGATTATATTTTCTCAATATCGAGGGTCCAGAAGTGTAACAAAATCCTAAGCAAGCTTTTGATAAAATACTAAGCAAACCTTTGGCTTGTTTCCCACGCTGAGGAGGTAAATCACTGAGAAAGGAGGAATTGTTTTTCGTGCTTGGTTACTGAAACACATGCCATTTTAAGGCCCTTTAGGTCTAGAGATTGGCAAAGCCTCTGTATATCGACATCAAGCTTTGAATAATGGACAAACAGAACATTAAGGGAATGTCTGAAGATCTATGCCAGCAAATGCAGGTCACGCATGTTTACTTAGATTGTAAGGGATACGAGCATAGCGCTCTATTCTGTAAAAAGTAGTTACCGTAATTATAGTAATTTATAGAAGAATTTTCCATTTTTCCCATTGTGAATTTGGCGGTACTCCTGCTCAAAGCCCCATTGTGCAGAGGGCAATATCCAGGATTGAGAAACGGCTGGAGCTGAATTTGTGGATTATAATGGTTTCTAATAAGTTATATTTATTGTTTGTTTATAATTTGATATTCAACTAAAATAATGTTGTCCACTAGCCTAACGAATTTGATTTGTGATTACTGTCACCTTTGCTCTATTCAGATGTCCCCCAGTCCGCGGAGTAATGGAGACATAAAGAGAGCAGGAAGCCTGCCTAAGCATATTTCCCACAACCCCTGGCAGCAGTGGCATATGGGAAATCTGTAGCTGTTACCCATAAACCCACTGTTTAAAAAAAGAAAAAAGAAACACGCTAAACCCCTCACGCACGTCAAGCTTGCTGAAGTTCTTTAGAAGTTATCAGAGTCCCCCTTTCATACTTTATAAAAATGTCAATTTCAAGAGACATGGGCACCTTTATAAAGTTGCACGCTCCCAGCTGTCAGTCAGAGAGCCAGGAATGTGCTCTTCCTGACCGCTTTGTATTATAGCTAAAAGCAGAGGCAATGCGTCTCATAGAGAATCAATGGATTCACTGCCGAGATTTCTGTGCATGTGCCCTGTATAAGAACCATTGGACTGGCCAGAAGACTATCAGAACTGGAGGAGGAGGTGAACTACATCAAGGAGGCCCTCTCGCTGGATTAAACCTCTTTATTTTATAGGTACTAGGGGTGGAAGGGAGGCCTAGTGCACATTACAATACTCCAACGTAGGAAAATCTGTTCAGAAGTCCATTTTATTAAATTCAAAGCTGGAAGAACAACGATAATGATGGATATAGTAGCAGCAAATGGAAAATTATATAAAGAAAGAACGTGAAATAGTGTAAATATAGATTGTATGATTGTTGGCAAAACGTTAAAGAGGCAGAATCTAAACCCAATAAAACAATGTAACAATAATACAAAATTTTAATTATCCGTGTCCGACTGTACGTGACTCGACATGTTGAATTGTATTGCCTTCAGATGGAATTTGTGGCGCTACAAGTCATGTATTCTATGTATTGAGCCAGACCTTTTCCAGACTGTGTGCGCGGTGCATGCCATGATAGAACGTCATTCTTGGGCCCAGCTGCTGGCTTGATTGACATTTATTACGAGTGGGGATTAGTCCAAATTCTAATTGATTTGACATGATTTTTGGTTACAGGCTATTAGCTTATATATCAAACAGGTTTTGACAAAACCCGTTTCTGTATTCACCAAGCGAATCATGACAGATTAATTTAATTGAGACAGAACAGTGCTATATCGATGGAAACAAAGTATATGTTAACGTCAGTAATACTAGCCTGTCCCATGTGTAGAGTCTCCAGATCCAGCATGGATTCCTGGAAATGTTTGATAATATCTGCCTGCAGTTAGACAATAATTGTAATACATTTCAGCCCTGTAGTATGTAGCATTCTGGTGCTGTATGATGTAAATCAACCAATTGAAGCATTTGATTTTGACATCCTTCTTTGATACAATTCGTTTTTCTCCTGCAGTGTACACATTGTACTTACTGCAGTGAGGTCATCACTTTTCATTTACTGACTTCCAGCACGGAGAAGTGTTTTGATGGATTTGTCCATCCTAACCATGAGGGAGATGCACGTAGCAGCGAGGAGACCCCCTCACAAAGAGAGACTTGCGTTGACTTGACCATGGAGGAGTGATAGTGCTGAAGATTGTAGGAGAAACATCGGCCAGTGCATCAAAACTGTGGACTGATTTTATCCTGGCTATAAATATAAATGTCGAGCCTTGCTGTACCAGGAAGAAGTTGGAGATTTTGCACAATTGAGAAGTGAAGACTTGGCAGAATTTTGTATAGATGGTGTTTGGTAGAAGGCCTCAGTGTAGTGAGGAATTGATAATTCAACAGAGACAAATGATGATCCAAAAGCATCGTGCACGGTAATTTGGTGGAATAGTCATGCTGTCTATGTTTGAAATGAGCGATTCATCCCATAATTTGCAGACAAAGCTCATCATTTATAGTTATTAAAGGGCATTCAGTGACGGGTGTAAATTGGAGAGATTAGTTCCATTTCATAGTGAGAATATTGGGACACCCAGTGATACTAACAATTGTCACACAGGTTTACTTCTCTGATTGCCTTATGAAGCTGTATCCAAACCAGTTGTCATGTGTAGACAGCATTAATTATCTGGGCGATGTATTTCTGTGTGCCAGGGGTAAAGAGCGGTGATATCGTGTTGTTTTTATGGCTTCCATCAATGGGTTAATTACCTCTAGTGTGCAGATTCTCTCCTAAGAAATCCCCAAAGGATCGGGGCAGGTGTCAGTTATTTCCAGTGAATATTATTCAGTATAATGATATGGCGTGATAGCTGGGTATGCCTGTTTAATTTCTGATTGAAGTGTAATTAGGGAGAAAAAAAATCCAAATATATGATTTGTCACTGTTCCAAGATAACCAGGATGTCATTAATGGTTTCCTGTTTTTCCCCAGAAGCGGTTGCAATGTAATTGGCGTTCTTTATTCATACGTCACATATACAGAATCCTTGCAGTGGGTTTTGGTTTTAACCTTTTCACTGCTGTAGTGAGCGGACGCGAGTTGTTTACGTGTGGCTCTGCAATCTCGGCCAAAGATCAGGCTTGTCGAGCTAAAAATTACCTCCAGGCCTTTCTCATCTGAAAAACTGAGTGAACTGGGAATGTTACTATACACACACATGCATGTGCATTCTTGTGTTTGTGTGTGTGTGTGTGTGCGCACACACACACATTGTAGAGAGCTCATCCAGCAAGTGTATAAATAAGTGATAGATATACTTGCATACACACACACAAGGCAAGCCTATATTGTCTACACCAGTGGTTCCCAAACTTTTAGGTTCAAGGTGCCCTTAATATTTCAATATTTTTCCAAGGCACCCCAAGTCAAAACATTTCCTAGGTTCTATATATGTACAGTGCTGCAGCATATACTGGGCCCCTAATCTTGGGAGTGGCACTGGTAGATTATTTAAAGAAACAATCCAGGCACAATAACCACTACATTACATTTTAGTGGTTATGGTGCCAGTAGTGCCCTTCCAGGGTAAGTAATCAAACTGTTTAAGAACAGTTTGACAACTTACCTGGGGTCTGCCGGGATAGCGGCTGTAGTGTGTGTGTACAGGGTTACATTGTGTTTGTGAAGGATGTAGTTTGTGTGTGAGGTGTACAGTGTGTGTGTGTGTGTGTGTATGGGGGCAATGTGTATATGGGGGGGCAGTGAGTGTTTATGGAGGGGGCAGTTTGTGTGTGTATGGGGGAGCTATTATGTGCTGTGGGGATAAAAGGGCAAATTAAAAAATATATACGTTATTTTTTTAATTAAAAATAATAATGCTGTCCCCCCACCCTGCTTACCATTTCCTGGGAAGGAGGACATTTCCTGCAATCCCTGGTGGTTCCAGTGGTGATGGCGAACTCTAGCAGCCTGGCGAGATTCGGAGCGTTGCTGTGGTAACCGCGGCAGTGTGTGTATGGGGGGGGCAACGATGCTGGACGTCCTCATGTTCAGCGTGTGGCCGTCCATCATCGTTTTATGGAGTTCAACTCTGTGAAACAGCAGGAGGCGCCTATTGTGGCTGCCAGGTAGACAGCCACTAGAAGCAGTATAAACATTGCAGTTTCTCTGAATATAACATTGTATACCATTGCAGGGTTAAGTGGACAGGGACCTACAATGAGATTTAGAGATACATTAACATGGAAACGCCACCCCATTGACACGTTGTTTTGGGGGTGGATGAATGGGATACAGAAATCACTTACCTGCACGGAAGTCACTTACTGCAGCATCAAAAATACTAAAAATATCCAGGTTCCATGTAGCAGCCTATTAAGTATATTTATATTTCTAATTGTCTTTCTTTTTTGATTTTTGTTAATCTATAACCAGCTGCTGGATTGCACCATGCAATTATTTGTTCTATCGAGTACCTTTAGAATTTTGCTTTGAAATATTCAGAGATAATTTTTTTTCATGTGATAAGCTTGTTTGCACAGTGGTTGTATGAACAGATTCATTGATATTCTTTAGAACCAAATGAAAGCTTGGTTTTACTGTTTATATAGGGACTTTTGGTGTAGGTTTCTTTGGGTTAAGTTATCTCTAATCACGGAATATGACAATGAGACATGTGGGGTCGATAGCCCCCTCTCCACCTGAATTTGTGTTCAAGGGGAAGCCAGAAATGTGGAAAATATCCACCCGTTGCCTAAACTACTGTTTATGTTATTATGTTTCACTGAAAGGACCACTATAGTGCCAGAAAAACATACTTGTTTTCCTGGCACTATAGTGCCCTGAGGGTGCCCCCACCCTCAGGGTCCCCCTCCCGCCCGGCTCTGGAAGGGGGAAAGGGGTAAAAACTGACCTTTTTCCAGCGCTGGGCGGGGACTGGGCTCCTCCGTTCCTCCCAGTCGGCTGAATGCACACGCGCGGCAAGAGCTGCACGCACATTCAGCCGGTTGCATAGGAAAGCATTTACAATGCTTTCCTATGGACGCTGGAGTGCTCTCACTGTGAAAATCACAGTGAGAAGCACGCAAGTGCCTCTAGCGGCTGTCAATGAGACAGCCACTAGAGGCTTTGGGGGAAGGTTTAACCCATTCATAAACATAGCAGTTTCTCTGAAACTGCTATGTTTACAAAAGAATGGCTTAATCCTGGCTGGACCTGGCACCCAGACCACTTCATTAAGCTGAAGTGGTCTGGGTGCCTAGAGTGGTCCTTTAATATAAAACGAGGCTCCCTCTCATAGGAGTTGTTGCATTGTGTTATGTGATCCCATTTCGGCATCAACTGGTTGCCTTTATCAAGGTACCCTTTACAAGACTTAAGACTGGATACTGGGGTTTCTTTAGCAGAAAGTTGAATTTGAAGTGAAACAGTTGTTTTGTGACTAGAACTACTTTAACCCATGTTCAAGCACATTTTTGCAAGCTCGTCTGGGTGGGTTAACTGTTGTGGTATTAAGGAGGGACAGTACCTATTGTGGACCTACATCCCTCTGTCCCTCACTCTCTCGCCTAAAATTAAAGTGTCCCTCTTTGTCCACTGGAAATGTCGGGATGTATAATGTCATTGTGAAACGGCTATTAGAAGCCAAACTCGATAACTATATCAATTGAGTGACTGTGACTGTGACAGAAAAGTTCTGAATGTTTGATTTCTAAAGAAAAATGGCAGTATTGTCATAGAGCCTAATTCACTATGAACTCCTGTTTTGCTTTTTTGTGGGTTTTTTTGTGGTTTTTAGTTGCTTATCGGGACACTGTATGCACCCAGACCACGTCATCTCATTGAAGTAATCTGGATGAAGTGCCCCTGTCCCCTTAGCCCTGCAAGTGAACTGCAATGTTTACATTGCAGGTTTAAGACAACCTCTAGTGACTGTGTTGCTGAATTTTCACAGAGTTTAACATTGTGAAGCGATGCTGGACGTCTTCACGCTGTGCATGAGGACATCCAGCATCTTCAAAATCCCCACAGGAAAGCATTGATTGGGGAAGTCCTAATGTGCATTAGTTCTCCATCAGCGTAACGCCAAGGAAGGAGGAGACCGTGCCAACACCATGGGATCTTGCATTTGAAATTAAAGGACCACTATAGTGCCAGGAAAACACTCCTCTCCTCCCTCTTCCGACGTCATGCGCCGAATGTGCATGCACGGCAAGAGCCACGCACGCATTCAATCAGTCCAGTTTCTCAATGCTTTCCTGTGGACGTTGGCGTCTTCTCACTGTGAAAATCACAGTGAGAAGCGCCTGCAGCAGCTGTCAGTGAGACATCCACTAGAGGCTGGATTAACCCTAATCTGAAACTGCTATGTTTACAGCTGCAGGGTTAATCTTAGATGGACCTGGCACTCAGACCACTTTATTGAGCTGAAGTGGTCTGAGTGCCTATAGTGGTCCTAGGGACAGGGGCATACTATAGTTTTGGATTCCTAACGCTATAGTGTTCCTTTAAGCCATTATACAGGAAAATGACTTTCTTACTGTGATAACCATTTTTACAGGCTATCAAAGACTAATTTTGAGTACAAATTCCAAATAAGTCCTGCCTTGCTGTAAATAGTCATATAAAAGTGTTACAGACTAAACATCTTCCTTCGTGTTGTCCGTATCAGCCATATAAAGAAATGTTCACCTGAGACGTGTTTGTGTTGACCTTTAAAATAAAATAAATATCATGGCTCCCCATGGGTGCCGCGTCTCTAATGTAAATAAATCCAATCTGTCGAGTGCTTCCTCATTACTAAAACCTTTGATTGTGTTTGTTAATATCGTTTCCAATCTGGACCGTTTCCAGATATCCTGTAATATTGCAAGCAATGTATTTAGAGAGGACGTTGGATTATTTGGAGTGCTCAGCCAGCCACCTACAGTAAGCATGTTTACAGATTGAATTTTTTTTGTCGTTATTTTAGTTTTGTTAGTGTTTGGACTGCCATAGATTTTTTTGGAAACATTGTTTAACAACAACTGAACCCTGGACCCTGAGTATGTATGTGAGATCTTGCTTTTGTTGTTTAAAGTTCCATGAGGCTGGCACAGATTGATGGGAGTTGCAGGCCTCCGCTTTTTTCAATTAGTCTTTATTTGTTGATCCAGGTGGCGTTATGAAAAACTGAGCTGGGAATTGTGGAAAACTGACGAGGCAATAGCACCTTCTATACCAAAATAGCTGGATTCATGTAATTCTTCGAAAATGTTAAATGCCCTTGTCAGCTCTCTACAACAACACTTTTCATCATTCATCAATGCCCTCTGTTTGTTTTCTTCTTGAATCAATACCCCCCACCCTCCCTCAGCTTAATGGATTTGTTTTAAATCTGTGGCTGTTTTTAAGATATAGTGTGAATAAGGGTGAACTTCAGATCATAACATTGCGGTGGAAAACATGCATTTTAATTCTTATTCCAGATTACTATTTCTTTGAGTATCAGAATGATGAGAACACATTGCTCAGGTAATATTAAGTAACATATCGCCTCTCCTTCTCTTTTGCGTAAAGCCGCATGGCATGATCTAAGTTAGACAATAAATTGCATTGCTTGTATAAAAGAAGGATGGCCCATTTGGAAATATTGTAAACAAATAAAGTAAAATGCATTCTGTTGTATGGGTCGTATGTTAGTGAATTTACATTTTTGTGCTGTGTATGATTGACACTATAAAGTGTTTTTGTTTAAACCTTATAATGTAAGCTCGTTAGAGCAGAGGCCTTAACACGCTGTGCATTCAACTCGTCCTGTTGCAAATACATGTAAGTTACTCCTCTCCATTGTACATCGCTGTGGAATTTGTTGGAACTTTAGAAATAATATTAATCAGACATGCTCATCCTGTGGGATTGATTTTTTTCTGGGATTTTACAACCATTAACTTCTGTGCCCTAGGCTTGATTAATGCCGATCTCTTTCTGAGAAAGCAAATATATCCTGGGAGAATGTAACGCATACGTTATGAGCTATCCTTTCACACTAGATATACAGTCAAGCTAAACAAACGCTCCTACTTAAAATCCCTTTTAGGAAAATCACTTGGAAAAAAGCAAAATCATTTAAATAGCCTAATGTAGAAGATAATGCACACTCTAATTCTAAAAGAATGGATCCATTTTTAATTCCAATAATAGCTGTGAAACAAAAGAGGCAAGACATGTCTGTGTGCATGCATGTCTCTCTACCATTTTCAAATGTAAAATGTGTATTTGTGATGTTCTGGTATCTTTTAAAAGTTCGAGAAAGATTTCATATTGTAGATTTGTTTATTTCAGCCATAGAATTATTGTAATGTCATTGTATAACATGTTTAAATATAATGCACTAGCTGTATGTTACAAGAGAGGCTCTGGGGAAACAGGTGGCAACTTAGAAAAACAAAGTGGCCAATATGGCCCAAAAGAAGTGGCGATTAACTATTACCTGGGAACAAAAATATCCTACATTTGTTACGCAAAATGGCACAAAGGAGTATTTTATTAAGTTTAACTAGATGTATAAATGTCACAGAATATACATGTTTGCTTTAATTAGTCCAGAAAGCTTGTATTTTATAGCAAACCTAAGGGGGCTATTAGATTAATCCAAGCTCGTAAGTGAGGTCATTTTAATTCTTGTTGTATTCTGTTTGACTGAAAGCACATAGACGCTGATCCGATAGAACTCCAAATGTGTCAGTCTTTTTTCTGCTATATTTTTCCATCAAACTTTTTTTGACAGATTTCTTTCAAATTCAGGATTTTTTATAGTAAAACACAGGATTTTCACATCAATCTACAAATATACAGGAAAACATATAAATATCACATTGACATAGGTATTCAGTCCATTAACTCAGTACTTAGCAGCGATTACAGTCTCAATTGTTTTTGGGTGTGATGTGACTAGATTTGTACACCTGGATTTGGGTAGTTTCTGTCGTTCATCTCTGTAGATCCTCTCGAGTTTATGGGGTATTGTGAGTGGATTTAGGTGAACAAAACAACAACAATTTATACAATTGTAGCATAAGACTACAACATAAAAATGTGAAAAAAAGAGGTCAGAATTCTTTCTGAATTCATTGTAACATTAATCATCCCACACATTCAACTGATCCTTTTTCTCTGAGCTTCCTTCTTCATTCTCGATATGTGAGCATTATTGATTATCTTACTGGGAGTATTCTTATTTTCTTGAATGTGCATATTGGTAAAATATTATTGATTTACCTCTGGTTTTCTTTTTCTATTACTACTTTTCATTGAAGGGCCCATCTGTTTAAATATTTGTCTGTAGCTAAAGATGCGGTTCAGAACAGGGACTGGCTGCCTGAGAACTATGGGCATACTAGTCCGCAGCAGCCAAGCTGCCAAATCTAGCCATCCCTAGCATAAACTGATGTACTTTGCGGTTTTTAGAGAGTATTCATCGTGACCCCTAGCCCCCCTTACACTTTACGTTACATGACATGCCAATTATGTTTAAAGTACGAGGATAGACAAATCAGAGATATTGAAGATTTTAATACTCTTTAACATCAACGCTGCACCTCTTGCCACAAGGATGGTTGTACTGATTCCGCACACTTTGTAGCACCGTTTCCTAGCTGGTAACGTGAATGTAGTTCAGTAGAAATCGCCGCTTGCTTCCTATAGCACAGCTGATATGAAGTACTAAAAGCCGTTTCCATTGAGCTCATTCATTGTGAGCACTCCTGGGTAATTTGGAGGTCAGCCCCAAACCTGTATTTCTTGTTTGTAATAGTCGTTTTTCTGTTCATTAAAATCACACATATATTCCCTGAAGATACATCTTGCAATATGATATCAGGGGATTCATTTTCAATGGAGAACTTTGTTTTATCTCTGAAGCTGACAAATGTTGTCTCTTCAGAAGGCTCAATTAGAGAGAGGTTGTAGTAGGTAAGCATTCCAACCTTGACTGTGCTCTAAATTACACTGTGTGGCGGTTTTGTTGTTTCCTTAGAGGGGGGTAGTTGTGTTTGGGTGCAGTCTTGATAACCTTGTACTCTTAGAAAGCTGCCAAATCGCTTCCCTTAACCTCCTTCAATAGTAAGTTTAATTCATCATGTTAGTTGACACTAAGAAAACGCTTTTAAAGGAACACTCCAGGCACCAAAACAACTTCATCAAAATTAAGTTGTTATGGTGCCATGAGTACTCGGGCTGCATTTTTACCTCAAGTGGTGAATTTTTTGTTGTTGTTGTTGTTATTATTATTATTGCCATTTATATAGCGCCAACAGATTCCGTAGCACTTTACAATATTATGAGAGGGGATTTAACTATAAATAGGACAATTACAAGAAAACTTACAGGAACGATAGGTTGAAGAGGACCCTGCTCAAACGAGCTTACAGTCTATAGGAGGTGGGGTGTAAAACACAGTAGGACAGGACATTGTTGAACATTTTAGCCCCAAAGTTGCCTACAGCGGCGATGTCCATGCTCCCTTTTGGAAAGAAACGTACCTTTTCCTAGTCAGTTTAGTTAAAAGGGAGTCACTGATAGGCTGAGAGCGTCAGCTGACTGCTCTCAACCAAATCATCGGCGCCCCTGCCCTGCCTTAACCTAAAAATTCTGAAGCCGGATCCCGCCTGGGGGGAGCTAACATCGTCGCTGGAGGCAGCTGAAATGGCTAAGTAAGAGTGCCTCCATGGGCCCCCTGGCACCATAACAACTTTAATATAGATGAAGTTGCTTCGGTGCCTGGAGTGTCCTTTTAAGCAGTGATTTTATTTTATCTTGAGACCCACTAAAGGCCTAGGTGACAGTCGGGTCAATTTGAATTATTGTGAATAATTAAAATGTTTTTTCTGATGAATCTAAGAGAAAAGGCCCACGTTATTGAAAAGAACATAATCAGATTTCTGGCACTTATTTTCATCATGTCAACTGGTTACCCTACGAAGATGAACATTTGCTGTTTACATCTGTACTGTGACCAGAACTGTGTTACATACCAGATATCACTAAATAAGATAAATCCTAAAGAGCGTCCCCCACATCTTCCAAAAAATAAATTGCTTCATGGGGGGTGAAATGCCTTCTAGTTAAAGAAACATGACAAAAACTGAAATTGTATTGTGGAGCTAAAAGGTCATGGCACTGTAGAACTCATGTGGGAGTACTGACAAGTGCTTAGACAAAGTTCATTCTAAGCGAAAAATAGAGAGGACTAAACTACCTTATTTGTGTAGTTACTGATGATAAAATACATTTATTTAATGCTTTAAAGTGGCATTACAAACAACTGAATTCTGCTTGTCTTCTAAATGACCACTATACATCCCTCCATGAGATAGAATTTGAGTACACATTTAGGATTAGTGGTTTATACTATGGATGAATTAGCATCAATTGGTCACCTAGACGATGGTACTATAAGAGCAGTAAAGCCATTCTTTGGTGGGTCAGCTTGAAATCCACCTTGTTTGCCTGATAAATGTATGATAATGGACTTTCTTCATGTATACATGTCCTACAAACTAGAGTATGAAGGTCCATGGCACCGATGAGAAGAATATAGATTGGAAACACCTACTAAGATTATTTCCCAATGATTAGTGATGATTGCACTTGGAACCCCTATGCCTTCTGAAAACCATGACCAGGAAATGAGGGCAGCACTGAAGGTCCATGTTTGGAAACCGCTAGAATGCCATTATCCTGTTGAGTGGTTAGATTTAAGAAACGATGAACCTATTCAATCTCTTCATTGGATTGGTGTATGGGTGGGCAGATATCACTAAAACCAAACAGTTGCCTCAAATTGGGCATTAAATAATCATAATCATAAATCTGATATTTTTACAAGCTATTGAAATGGTACCTCCTTGGAGCTTTGTGGAATACTCCATATGCAGTATTTAATAGCCAATCGTATTGAAGAAGTTTTTCTTGGCAGTCAATGCTGTTGAGTGTTTTCAAGAACTTGCATTACCATAACTTATTCCGTAAAATGTTCTTTTTACTTGGGCAACACTCTTCATCTGAGGTTATCTTCTTTCCAGAACTCATTAATAACTTTATCTATTATTACACTATTTCTTTCTCAAATTCTCTGGCAGTCACTGGAGAGACAAGACACTAGTGTTTATATACAGTCCATGGGCCTGCCGCAGATTAATGATATTAAACCAATCTCCCGGTGTGTATATATTCACTACACTGAATTAATATTTGATCAGTGATGTGCGATCACTGTTTGCTTGGTTAAATTGCATTGCAACGCTTCTGACATCACATGCCGCTGCTTGTTTGGCGTTTATCTCTCGGTCTCATTCTGTTTGTCGAGAGATTTGTACAATTCATTACCTCAGTGGTTTACTTGTAGGTGAAACGAGGTTTAAATGTTTGTTATTGTTAATATGAATAATGCGTAACGACACAGCTTTGCGCTTTCCTTACCAGCTTTTTGTTTTGTCTGAACACATTTGGAAATAAAATAAGTTTACATCTCATGGGGTTTAATGTTGGATAATTTGATTAAAATGAGTCTCTAAGGTGCTGTTTGTGACACTGTTAAATGCAAAACAAACCAAATAATTACCCAGTAAAATAGAAATAAAGGTGATGAGAGACTGTGGTGGAGTAATGGGTAAATATATCTCTAGACATGGACTCCAAGAAAGGTATGTCTTTGGCATGAGTGGACTCCCATGGAGCCTTTCAAGGCCCGGCTTGCTAATAATAAGTACATTCTGCTGTACGAGAGGTTGATGGGAAGTAAGTAATACATAACGAATGCGTTCCGAGAACTAGTTGAGTAAAACGTCAGGAGCCACGTAAATGCTTGAATGATACTTTATTAATTCAGTCACTTTTGTGGTCTATACTGTTATGTACAGAAATAACCAGGACCAAGTACTCAATTGTGTCCATAGCCCTGAACACAGAATATTTCTGGCCTGGCGACACTTGGCGAATATTTTGTGGCTACCATGATGTTTCTTCATTTTATGATGTAGTTCTCCCGGCTTTGGTTTTAGCACAATTCCTGCTGTGGAGATACAGGCTTTCTGACTTTAGTCCGTGATCAACCACAAATTCACACATTTACAGATTCTAAATATCATTGTAAAATGTCATTTTAGCCACCTATATGATCACTTATGCTGCCATGGAGTAGGGATGTGAGAGCAGACCAGCCTCATAGCAGTTCCATGTGCACTCCAAGCCAACCTACTGGCAGCCGGTGCCCCCTTGAAGTGTTTGCCCTGTCTGGTCGACACCCCAAAGGCCAGCCCTGATCAAGCAACGGTCAGCATGATCTTTGAGACCATCATTTAAATCCCCACCATGAGTTTTGGAAGAACTGGTTGAGAATGTACTTTATTTACCCAGCCAGGTAAACATTCGAATAAATGCACAGAAAAGCAAGAACATTGTTCTAGTTGGGTGAATACATTACCTCCTGTACCCTGTGAGTGCCTGGTCCTGTCTGTTTCTGTGTGATTGGAGGTCGTACTGCAGACCACCGTGGCACTAGGCAATTGTTGTTGTAGCTTATTGTTAGAAAATTAGCATTTTTGTACGAGACATATCTTTGATTGAGCTCGGCTATCCTTAGATCCTTAGGTTCTGTCTCTCAGAGGAGAAATATGCTGCAGTCAGAGAGATTTCAGTGTGTTTCTGAACATTCCCAGGACATTATTTAGTATTTGAGAGAGAAATTACATGTAGACACTAACTCCAGCAATTTCTTTGACTTGTCACCTTAGCGAAACAGCTTGCCATGTTGCAGGGTCCCATTTAGAATCAAAGAAGGACATGATTTGGATGTCTCCTGATTAATGGGAATCATTTTATTTCCCTATCTCAGGTTTGCCTTTTTGAGTTCATGGTATCACATGCAGCATTTCTATGTGAATGTTAATTTAAAACCGCATGTATTTTATGTCCCCCATTACTTACCCCATGTTACTATATTAGCACTCCAAAACAATGCTTTTAGGACATTTACAGCTTCAAATATAGCTTAAAACCTGACAGGGTATCAAAAATGGAAGAGGTGGAACAGAGCATGGAAAGGGTGGCTGTTTTTGGGAACAGGTCATTCGCCCCACACTCTCCCAAGCTGGCAAAGCTTGTATTAGGTCATTCAGTAAATGCTCGCCACAAACTTTTATATAAAAGAAAGGCTGGGATTTGGAGATCTAACGTTGCCTCTGTTCGCACGCATCCTTCTCATTTCATTGTTTTTCTAAGGTGCTTCTTGGCAAAGGTTACGTATTGTTCTACTTTACAGTAATGTTAGGTAAATGTATCAAGAGCACAGTAATTAATATACACCGGGCTTGCACAATGGTTCCAGTAAGGAAAAAAAAAAGTACTTTCATTAATGATTTTATTGTTTGTTTATACAGCTGGCTTTTGGCGTGTGAAATCTTTAATTAAAAAGCTCAATTTGCCTTATTCGGCATTGGCCTATTGAAAGGGGTGCTGCTGCATTGCCATCTAGTGGCAAAAGGGAGAGTGGCTTTGACACCATTAGCCAACTGCATATGACAGTACTTGACCAATCGGGAGTTTAGAAGTCAGAGAAGTGTTAGCTCTTCTTATTTTATATTGAACAATTTGCCAGCCTCTAATATCTTTATGGATAGACGGATGGGTGGATTCTAGCAAACCTTAGTTTTCTACCCTACCCTTACCCTTTGTACCTCTAGCATGTCAGCTCATTGAGCAGGGCCCTCAGCTCCTTCTGCTCCTATACGTCCATGTAGTCTGGTTTAACTACATGTCTGTCAGTCCACCCATTGTACAGCGCTGCGTATTCTGTTGGCACTTAATTAATAATAAAAAACAATAATAAATGTAGATAATATATCATGAGATCTATCAGATTCTGTAATAAATAGACTGAGATATATGGATGGATAGATTGAGAAACATGGAGCTCTGAGAACGAGAGAAACATGGAGGCCGTACTGCTCCCAGTGGAGCTCTGAGAATGAGAGAAACATGGAGGCCGTACTGCTCCCAGTGGAGCTGTGAGAGAAGCATGAAGGCCGTACTGCTCCCAGTGGAGCTCTGAGAATGAGAGAAACATGGAGGCCGTACTGCTCCCAGTGGAGCTGTGAGAGAAACATGAAGGCCGTACTGCTCCCAGTGGAGCTCTGAGAATGAGAGAAACATGGAGGCCGTACTGCTCCCAGTGGAGCTCTGAGAATGAGAGAAAGATGGAGGCCGTACTGCTCCCAGTGGTGGAGCTCTAAGAATGAGAGAAACATGGAGGCCATACTGCTCCCAGTGGAGCTCTGAGAATGAGAGAAACATGGAGGCCGTACTGCTCCCAGTGGTGGAGCTCTAAGAATGAGAGAAACATGGAGGCCATACTGCTCCCAGTGGAGCTCTGAGAATGAGAGAAAGATGGAGGCCGTACTGCTTCCAGTGGAGCTCTGAGAATGCGAGAAACATGGAGGCCGTACTGCTCCCCGTGGAGCTCTGAGAGAAACATGGAGGCTGTAATGCTCCAAGTCGAGCTCTGGGAATGAGATAAAGATGGAGGCTGTACTGCTCCCAGTGGAGTTCTGAGAATGAGAGAAACATGGAGGCCGTACTGCTCCCCGTGGAGCTCTGAGAATGAGAGAAACATGGAGGCTGTAATGCTCCAAGTCGAGCTCTGGGAATGAGATAAAGATGGAGGCTGTGTTGATAGCTGGGGAATTTCTCTCCTGAATCCCATAAAGCATTTGACGCCAGTCGCAGTTATATCCCAAACCATCTGCACAAGCACAGTACGGGAGCAGCTGGTGAGGGAAGAGACATGGTAAAAACAAATCCCCCCAGGGTTGTATAGCATGGGGTCGAAGTGAATTAACCCTTTCATTGTCACATTGAGGATATGCCCCCCTCCCTCACCCACAGTCTATACACATTACCAGCCAGATAGCTATAAGATATGTAGCGTACAGTTTATTTTTATTCTCTGTGTAGACCATGCCTCTTGGCACCTCCGTTCTATGCTATCCCAGCTCACATTTATCAGTTATCTAGTATTGGAATTTATTGGTTTGTTTGTTTGTTTTGTTTTTTTTAGACATATTGTTATATATTCAGTCATTTACAGGAACAACACATTGATTTTACATACTGCCAGTGAGATTGATGTATTTCAGGATGTCCTTTCTTTTTTTAGGTATTAGTGGTCCTTTCTTGGGAGAATTTTAGTATCTGGACAGCAAGTATTTCCATAATAGCTGGACTTTTTGTAGGACATCGTTTGTTTTGCTCCGTTGAGGCTGTGAATTTTCACAAGGTGCTGTTATGTGGTCGGTCTGTCCGCCCACTCTAAAAAGATCATCTAGCATCTCAAAGCAGCCTTCAACGAAATAGTCCTGGATGTAAAGTACAGGAGTTCTAATAGGTCACATATTCAGTATTATTCTCCCCCCAATGACCTTTTATCTCTTTTTATGTTTGGCAATTGCAAGGGAATTTCTTGTTCACCTCATTGATAACGATACATTACTTTATTAGCATTACTTTATTTTGCTTTTTTTTTTTTTTTTAACAGATTCACTATATATTTTCTTACTTGTTTAATACATTGAAACATTTTCCAACCTGCAGCACTGCCGGAGTTGGTTCTCTTCCAAAAGGAATTGCACAAAAAATATCCCTGGGAGACACCCTGTCTAGATTTTTTGCCAACGCTTTTAAAATCACCCTTTGCTTTCTTTACCGTACAATTGCGATTTAACAATAACATTCCCCTTCTTAGAAATGTCGTAATCACCTGTCATCAGAACCTCAGCGAACGTTTTGAAAAATGCACTTTGAAACACTTTGTAATCTTGTTTGGACAGAAGATTGTCAGCTGCGCTGTGTTTGGAAATTGTCAGCTCACATATCATCTGAGATGTGGAAGTGCAGTACTTTCATCCAATTATGAAATGTCTTCTAATCCTTTAAAACAGCCATGCAAGTGTTAGAGAAACTATTCAGACACAATTCAAATATCGTTCATAAATATATATATTTTTTTCTGTTTGCAGGTGTCCCAAACAAGTCGACCCGACCTTATTCTCTTCCTCATGAAATACCTCATGACCCTGGTGGTTGGCATACCTTCTGTGTTTTGGGTTGGGAGTAAGAAGACCTGCTTTGAATGGGCCAGTTTCTTCCATGGTCGCAAGAAAAAAGTGTAAGTCTTGGCATGATTATTGGTTGAGGAGCATCGTTAGTTTGTCACGGTGTAATCATTGAATGAGAAAACAGGGGGCTGGCTGCACTCACCTGAATATGTACAAATAGGGCACTGCTGGGAGCCAATCTATACAATAAAAAAAAAAAAAAAACAGCGCACTCCCTTATCCCCTAAACCGTAACTTCGGTGCTGACAAATGTAAGGTTTTTTTTTTGTTGGTTTTTTTTAGAAAAACCTAATCCAAGCAAAAAATAATGGGAGTTTAGTTACATTAATGATCATACATTGCATAAGCCTGCCATAACGTCAATGTACCCCATCTTTGGCAAGTCCTACACTACCAGCCTAGTGTCTGCTTCATGGGAAACTTGGGGGAAAAAATCCATCTGGGGTTCTCTGCTGTACAAGGCTAAATAGGGCCTTGGGTTGAGACACCAGTGACAGGGAGGGGTGCAGTACCAAGGAGCTGGCTAGACTCCCAAATATAAATATATATATAATGAGAAAACAGGGGGCTGTAATCATTGCAATTACTTTAATTGACATAGCCTGTCTGATTGTTTTGGACATCAGGCCTAGCTAGATATGTGATGTAAATTAAGTTATTGTCGTGATCATAATAAGGAACAGTGCTGAAGTGTGAATATTTTTGGAAATGCTTCTCAAACGACTCAATATTTTAGGATACATTTAAAAAAAAAATTAAATAAAACAAATATATATCAAAAACTATAAATGTAATTATATTTATTTATATTTTAAAAGCTTATCCCAAAAAATTAAATAGGAGTCTATAGTACATGACCACTCCTAACAGATAATACGCCAGGCAAATAATGGACACTCCGTAGTCAGTAGAATAGTTGGAATTTTTGTGTTTGAATTTATATTGTTATTTACACTGCGTTCCTCCTAGACACTCCATATTGGTGCAGTCACTATTAAATTTACTGAACGTTCTCTCTTTCTCCTTAGAGCTGTAAATGAAAGCCGCCAAGTGCTCCAAGAACCAGATTTTGCTCAGTCACTTCTTCGGGATCCAAATACCCCCATCATCAGGAAGTCACGGGGAACTTCTACTCAGGGAACTTCCACTCATGCCTCTTCCACTCAGCTGGCAATGGTGGATGACCAAAGGAGCAAAGCAGGGAGTGTCCACAGCAAAGTGAGCAGTTATCACGGCAGTCTGCATCGCTCACGTGATGGAAGGTAGGCAAAAAAAACATGGTGGCACAGGATGCATTAATGGCATATTTCATTTTCAGATCCCCCAAAATAGCTAACCAGGGGGAAGGTTATAGCGGATATTGCAGTTCAACTTATACATTCCAACTCGTAGCAGAAATGAGTGGCTGTGATAGGCTGGGAGCACTCAACTTAACTGTCAGCATATCACTGCTGGCCATCAATGTTCAGAATAGCCCAAACAGCACAGAGGGACTGGGCTAGGGTTTCCAGAATCACTCATTCACCATTCAAAAAGGATTTAACACTAAATGGAGGCTAGGGGACTCCAGGAGCTATAGCCACTCCAGTGAGATTAACTTGTTATTGTGCATAGAATGTCCCTTTAAGTGGGGGGATGAGGGCACCAAACCTGGGAGTCTGTAAATATAGTTGGAGTGGTGCTGAGTATATTGGATTTACCTGTACTAATCTGCACAGTATAAAAATGGATACATTTTATATATATAAAAACATCTTCATTGCAGGTCAAATACATAGCGATGTGGATGCTGCCTTTAATCTTACTTTAATAATATCCTCATATAGATCGCACTATTCATGCTTACATGAAAAGCTGTTCATGTTTGTGAAACTGACCTATGGTTACTGTGTCCTCAGGTACACACCGTGCAGCTACAGAGGAATAGAGGAACGGATTCCACACGGCAGTATGTCCCGTCTCACTGACCACTCCCGGCACAGTAGTACCCACAGACTCAATGAGCAGTCCCGTCAGAGCAGCATTAGAGACCTCACCAATCCTCTAGGTCATATTACACATGGTACTAGTATGAATCGGGTCATAGAAGAAGATGGAGCTAGTGCGTAATGGGATTAACACGAATGTAGAACATATTTTGTGATGCACTTCACAAGTATCGGACCTGTTGGAGTGTTGTGTGTGCTGGATATACACTGGACACTGGATAGCCATTTGACTCAAGTGTGTCTGTGGACCAATGAGAGATTGATAAATGGAAACTACACGCCATCCTGGAAACTTGTATCATGCTGCTCTCTTGATTTGGTCCAACGCTTTTATTGAGGTTCAGCTCTCAACTCAAATCAGAGCTTAATAAGGGAAAAAGTTCTGGGATTTTTTTTTATTTTTTAATATTTTGTAAAAAATTATTTATGTAAACCTGAAGACTGCCTAGTGCACAGTACAGGTAAAAATCATGAGATCTTTTTTAATTTTGTGATTGGTTTGTTTTTTCCTTGACACTGGATTCCATCCAACTAGTTTAAGGGATAAACGGGAGGAAGATGCATGTCTACTTGACCCGCAAATGCCCCGATGAAGAAATTGACTACATTGTTTAACTTGTGGTCACTGGCACTGGTCACTCATGGTCTCTGGCCCTTGTACGATCACCCAAGGAGACAATGAAGATTAATTACAAGTTCTGTTACCAACTGTGTTACATTTCATGCAGTTATTTTGTGAACAAATGTAAATATTTTGTATATATATATGTGTATATAAAGAAGCTCTTATCATTCACTGACTATGACCATAGGTTAGTTGTTGATACCTTCCATCAATGTCTGGTTGTTTCATGTCCCAGGTACACCTATCTGTCATGAGACAAGTTTGGAACATTTTAGGAAAATCTTTATTAATGTAAATGTGAGCCACTCTAATCAATGCACTATAATATGTCAGAGGACCTATTCTATAGCTCGAGAACAAAGCACCACTATTGGAGTGTTGACTGGTGTGAAGGACCCCATCTAAGGCACTGTACATGTTCTCGGATTGAAGTTTCCTCCTTTCTCAAATGCTGACACAGTACTGCAAGGCTCACTGATCAGCATTCTACGTGTCATTGAGTGATTTTCTTCTTGTGCAGTTCTGGATGTGTACTCAGACTGTGACAGAGATGTCATCAGGGACTACTTGAATATAACTGTAAAGACAGAACCTTAAAATAATCCCATCAGTAACATTGTCAAAATATTAAAACCAGACACCACTTATAGTTTAAACACTGGACACTATAAGATCACAATATGTGATGGTAGAATCACCATGACAGGTATGGCTGATCGGAGTGCAATATACCAAAGGTCCACCAATAATGCAGATACACCAGGGGGTTTGATACAGCTTTTGCCTTTAAAAAAAACATTGCATGGTAGGGTTTCTCCAAGCATCATAAGGGCCACAGCCCACTGTAATGGTTATGATGCGAGGAGCACCATGGCCCCATTTCCTGGTAAGAGGGCAAACTTACTTGGTCCTGCCGGGTGCCTGATCTCCTTTGCAGGAACACTGTAACGTTAGAAATACAAATGTGTATTATAAATAATATATATGGGAGTATTATAAAGATATAGTGTCCTGCACAATCTGTGCCTGCAGATCGTTTTACATTGCAGGGTTAAAATCACAGGGACATGGTACCCAGACCACCTTATTGAAACAAAGTGGTCTGGGTACATGTAGTGTCCATTAAAGGCTGGCTGTGACATGTGACTGGTTTCTTTAGAGCTGGTTGCCAATCTTTCCGGCCATTCATTGGATGAAAGCATCAGCTGACTGCTCTCAGCCAATGGTTGCAATTCTGTGCATAAACATTTGGAACACTAGTTCAGGGCTGGCTGATGACACTCTGGTGACAATGCCAGTGCTGGACTAAAAACCCTCTGGCAGCAGCAGGAGTTAATCTATGTTTGTGCAGCATTTTATAGCAAAACACTGCACATACAGACTGCAGGCACCGTAACCACTTCAAATCACTGAAGTGGTCATGGTGCTTAGAGTAACCCTTTAAAAGGTGTTTCACTCCCCAACTCTGTATCTAAAAATCACACCTATAAGTTCTCAAATTTCAGCTATCTGCGACTTATTGTGCAAAACTGGGATCTCATTTTGAAAAAAATCTCTGCGACAATTTAAATTATTGCATTTGTAAAATAAAGATAACTTGGTATACTGACTCCAACATTTATTGTCTGGGCCACGTTTTGGACAGTTGCATATGACAAGCCAGTAAAGACATAACCAGAAGAGTATACTGTCCCTTACCGATCGAGGTCTGCTGTCTTAACGCTACAATTCATTAATTTGGCTGTTTAATAATTAATAATTAAACAATAACACATTGGTAGGTGATCTACCATCCAATAAATATAATTTTAGCCTTTGTAATAGATTTTAGTTGTGGGTCTTAAAACAAGGAGTTCAATTAGGCAACATAGCGGTGGGCCCCCCTCCAATCTCCAGCAAGAGGAGGCAAACTAAAGCGCCCACCGCCCCCAAGCCAGCTAACCCTATATGACGGCCCAGCTCTGCTCTTTATTTTTAAGTTACTTTGTTTTTCAGCACAGGTAGATTTATGACATATAGTAAACATCACTTATCAGTGCACAAAGGTTAGAGCGTACAGATCTTGAGTGATGCAACTGAACAATCGATTTAGGGTACATAGTTGGTTATGTTACATCTTCGTGTCAGGAAGTATACCTCAGGTACAGTATTTGTAGTGGTGTCAGTTGGCTTATAGTGCATCAGGGCAGGATAGATACATGGGGTGTTTATATTTCATATATGCAGGCCATATTAACCACCCGCCGTAAGTAGATTTGTGCCTGCTCTTAGGCCCTCCTTTTGGTAACATTCGTTACGAGCATGGCTGTGCAACGTGTACCATCTTCTGTCTCATTTTTGGTTTATCTAGGGGCAGAAGTTAACTCTTTTTAACAAATTGATCATGCTAAGACTAGCAGAGGTGTCCAAAGTGTAACCATTAGCTATTGAACCACTACAATTCCCAAAATGCTTTGCCAGCCTGTCATTCTACAATAGGAATGCTGTGCCCAAAACATATTTATTACGTAAAGAGGTACTGTCATATTTTGCCTCCTGTTGTCAGTGTATTCAGTATTACTACTGTATCAAAGGAGCGTTGTAATCACTTCAGCTCTGTAAGTGGTTATGGTGCATACAGTGTTTGGGTTTGCCTGCCTTATTTTGAGCATTTTGAAAATAAAAATGGTCTTTTTTTGTCACGTAGGAGAAGCCTAGTTTTTGTTTTGTTAATTAGTTTTTTTTAATTAAATTAAACCATTTAAAGACAGTTTGCCAAAAACAGAACAGGTTATGGTGCATAGTGTCCCTTTGATTACAGCTGCTTAAATGAATACGGTGTGGTAAAGACATTCTTAAATTTCATAGTCATGGATTACTATTTCTGCCTCCCCTTGCTAATATTAAAATATTTTTTATTTATAGCATTTCAACATATTCCCCAGCAATAAGGATTAGCGACGCAGTGACCTAGGTTGTGTGGTCTCATTGTATATTATATGTAAATATATGGCCAGGTTATATTGTAGCCCTGTCTTATATTACGCAAATGCCTCTCACAAGATATGTTGTTTACATTCGGTACTGTAATGTAATATAGCAAATTTCTATCCCCATATACGTGGATAAAAAGGAAAATAAAATGTGATTAATTTGAACTATATTGGAAAGGGAATCACTGTATTTAAACCTGTTTTACTACTGATAATCCATTATCTCTCAGTATTTTAGAAGTTCTGTGGCAAAAAGAAAACAAATGTGCCCTGTGCAGTATAATGCTGTATTTTCTGACACTGAATGCATTTAAAGGGTTAGCAATGCTTTGTTTTTAAATGGACACTCTAGGCACTACTAACACTTCATCACATGGAAGTGGTTATGGTTCTTTGCGTTATCTACTCATAGTTAAACCATTTTTGAGTTCAACCATTTTAGCACTACCCGTGATGTGCCTAGTCAACTGCTTTTAGCATTAAGTAGAGGAAGGACAGCTAAGTTTTAATGTCTTTCAAGTGCTCTTTTTAATATAAGCATTACTGCCTCTTTAAATTCTACCACGTTTACATTGCCAGGGCAAATTAACTGATTGATTTTTGTGAAATTAAAAAGGTCAATAGTAATTGCATTATTGTGAAATTGGTGCCTGTCCAACAATTCTCAAATAGTGTTTGCTGGTATTTTTTTTTATTATTATTATTATTTAATTTTATTTTTTTTCTGCTCTGTTCTGTAGTATATTACTGTATGTTCAGTTTACAATAGTTCCTCCTCTGTTTTGTAAAATAAATGCATTGTGTTAGCACTTTAACAATGAGTGTAAAATATGATTCAGATTGTCAGTAGATGTACATTTCAATTTAGAGAGAGGTTGGACTTTTTTAATAAAATAACATAAAATAGTTTTATGGTTTCAGATTTTTTTTTCTGTTTTCTATTCATTTCAGGTTTCTCCTTTTATATTCCCCACGCATTCTTCCATTTCAGCTTTCTCCTTTTATATTCCCCACGCATTCCTCCATTTCAGGGTCCTCCTTTTATATTCCCCACGCATTCCTCCATTACAGCTTTCTCCTTTCCTATTCCCCACGCATTCCTCCATTTCAGCTTTCTCCTTTCTTATTCCCCACGTGTTCTTTTTCAATTCAGCCCCCTTATTCCTAAATATTATGCAATAAAAGACTTTTGCCCTTCTCATTCTCAGTTAAACTGCCTAATCCAGGGGAAATCAACCTTTTAGTAGCACTGCGACAAAACGCGATCCTGAAGTCTATTGGTGTGCGAGTCCTATTTTTTCAAATTGAGGCGTGTATTACCATATCCTGCTTGTGTTATTTATGGGTTCTGCAGTTGCCTTTAAGCGTTGTTTTTGTGTGTATGTGGGCTTTTATATTGTATATGTTTTGTGGTATTGTGTATGATATCTATGAATATTGCGTGTGGAATTGTGTGGATGATATGTCACATTGTGTGTTTGGTGTGTGCGGTTGCTTGTGGTATTGCATGTGAGAGTCTGTTTGTGGGATTGTGTTGTTTGTGGGGACTGTGTGTGGGCTGTTTTTATGAGGGGAGGCTTATTCTGCAGCTCTATGTATATCTAGCATTGTGTCAGGAAACTGACAGGGATCCAATACGCAGAGTGCGCACAGAAGGAGGTACGTATACCGGACCTTAGAATGGCCGGACTAACGTAAGGACAAAGCAAGAATAGTCAAAAGGTAAGCCGAGGTCAAGGGAGCCGGAGGACAGGTAAGCGAGATACAAGCCAAGTCAAAGGAGAGGAGAGGACAACAGGACAAAAGACAAGCAAGGGTCAAAACCAGAAACACAAGATAAAGAACGCGCTGAGTGACTAGCAAGCTAGAACCACGACAGGGCAATGAGCAGTAGTAAAGGTTTCCTTTAAATACCCTGTTACCTAAATAGAGACCACGCCCCCAAAAGGTCCGGAATAGCGGTTCCCGGCACTTTATGCAAATGCCGACGTCATGACGTCGACGCTAGCCGTCGCGTCATAAAAGGGGGAGGAGCTAGCGCGGCCGGCGCGAAAACGGCCGGAATATGCCGAAATGCTAGGGGCAGGGAGCCCCTAAGCAGAGAGGATGTCCTCCCTGGATACATCACCAACAGGTACCCTGACAGTACCCCCCCTTCTAGAAACGCCCACCGGGCGGATGGGACCTGGCTTAGAAGGAAAACGAACGTGGAAGGCCCGAAGAAGACGAGGAGCATGCACGTCTATACCAGGAACCCAAGACCTCTCTTCTGGACCATAACCTTTCCAGTCTATGAGGTATTGCAGCTTCCCCCTAGAAATACGAGAATCAAGGATGGACTTGATGATATATTCCTCCTGACCATCCACACGGACCGAGGATGGAGGAGCAGAGCGGGAGGAAAATCTGTTACAAACAAGAGGTTTTAATAACGAGACATGAAAAGAGTTAGGGATGCGTAGAGTAGGAGGTAGATCCAGCAAATAAGAAACCGGGTTGATCCTCCTCAGTACCCTGTAAGGACCAATGTAACGAGGAGCAAACTTCAAGGAAGGAACTTTCAGGCGAATGTGTCTGGTACACAACCAGACCCTATCCCCCGGAGAAAAAATAGGAGCAGGACGTCTACGCCTATCAGCATGTGACTTAAACACCGCGGAACTACGTTCAAGAATTTGTCGAGTCTGATCCCACAACTTTCTCAGGTTGGCTATATGAATATCAACCGACGGTATACCCTGGGAAGGAGACACCGACGGAAGAACAGTAGGGTTAAAGCCATAGTTCAAGAAAAAGGGGCTATTACGAGTGGAACCACAAACAAGGTTGTTGTGAGCAAACTCCGCCCAAGGAATCAGACCGACCCAGTCATCCTGGTGTTCAGAAATAAAACAACGTAGATATTGCTCAATTTTTTGGTTAGTGCGTTCGGCTGCTCCGTTAGATTGGGGATGATAGGCCGAAGAAAAATTCAGTTTGATGCCCAACTGTGAACAGAAGGATCTCCAAAAACGGGAAATAAATTGGGAACCCCTGTCTGACACAATCTCATTGGGAATACCATGTAAACGGAAAATTTCTCTAGCAAATATCACGGCCAGTTCGGGGGAGGACGGAAGTTTAGGCAAGGGAACGAAATGAGCCATTTTAGTAAACCTGTCAAGGACCGTGAGGATAACTGTATGCCTATTGGAAGCTGGTAGATCAACAATAAAATCCATAGCCAAACAAGCCCAAGGTTTGTTGGGAACGACTAAGGGCTGCAATAAACCACAAGGGAGATCCCGCGGAAGTTTATTCCTGACACAAACATTGCAAGCCTTGACAAAGTCTTCCACATCCCTACGTAAACCGGGCCACCAGAAGTCTTTGGAGATCAGGCAGTAAGTTTTGTGGATGCCGGGGTGACCAGCGAACTTGCTATCGTGAAAACAGCGAATAATGTCCACTTGGAATTTGGGAGACACGAACAAGCGGCCCACAGGAGTACGTTCGGGAGCAAGAGATTGTTCGTTCATAATATCAGCGAGCAATGGAGAGTGTATTTTGACATTGGTGTTGGCGATAATATTGACTTCAGGAATAATAGGGAACAAAGTATCCTCTGTAGAGGTGGTAGGTTCGTGCTGACGTGACAAAGCGTCTGCCTTAGTGTTCTTAGAACCAGGTCTGTAAGTAAGCACATAATTAAAGTGTGTAAGGAACATAGACCAACGTGCCTGCCTGGCAGATAATCTTTTGGCCTCCCCCATATACGATAAATTTTTGTGGTCAGTCAAGATAGTAACTGGGAGGACGGTGCCCTCTAACAAATGTCTCCATTCCTTTAATGCCATAATGATAGCTAAAAGTTCTCTATCACCAATGTCATATCTCCTTTCAGTGTGTGATAGTTTCTTGGAAAAAAAAACGCAAGGGTGCAGCGGCTTATCTAAACTTTGTCTTTGGGACAACACTGCGCCTATCCCTGTTTCAGATGCATCAACTTCAAGTAAAAAGGGTAGAGAGGTATCAGGATGAACTAATACAGGTGCTGAGGCAAAAGACTGTTTGAGCGTTTCGAAAGCAGATAAAGCCTCAGTAGACCAGGTTTTGGTATCGGCTCCTTGTTTGGTCATATTAGTGATAGGAGCGATAACAGAGGAGTACCCTTTAATAAAACGTCTGTAATAATTAGAAAATCCAAGAAATCTTTGTATGGCTTTGAGTCCCTTAGGTAAAGGCCAATCTAAAATCGATTTTAGTTTGGTCGGGTCCATCATAAACCCGTCTTTGGAAATTACGTAACCTAAGAAAGTTACCTGAGACTGGTCAAAGCTACATTTTTCCAATTTACAATACAATCCATGTTGTAAAAGTTTCTGTAATACCTTTCTGACTTGTCTATGATGTGAATTAATGTCTCTAGAATGGATTAGTATATCATCCAAATATACAATTACACATTCATGTTGGAATTCTCTAAGAACTTCATTGATCAAGTCTTGGAAGACGGCCGGGGCGTTACAAAGCCCAAACGGCATTACGGTATACTCATAATGCCCGTAACGGGTATTAAATGCTGTCATCCATTCATCTCCTTGTTTAATTCGCACTAAGTTATATGCTCCTCTTAAGTCAAGTTTGGTAAAAATACTCGAGCCCTTTAGTCTGTCAAAGAGTTCAGTAATCAAAGGAATAGGGTAAGCATTTCTGATAGTAATTTTGTTCAATCCCCGATAGTCTATACAAGGACGTAAGGTACCGTCTTTCTTTTCTACAAAAAAGAAACCCGCCCCCGCCGGAGAAGAAGACTTTCTAATAAATCCTTTGTCTAAATTCTCCTTGATATATTCCTCTAAAACTAAGTTTTCCTTGGTGGATAGAGGGTATACCGTACCCCTGGGAGGCATAGTACCAGGGAAAAGTTTAATAGAACAGTCATAAGACCGGTGGGGAGGTAAAGTATCCGCCTTACCCTTGTCAAATACAGATTTGAGGTCTAGATATTGTAATGGTATCTGAACGTCTGTGGATTGAGAAGTGTTAACATAAGAGTTTACGGGGCAAACAGAAGTAACACTCTGCAGACATTCTTTCCTACAACCCATACCCCAAGAAACGATTTCTCCACCCTCCCAGTCAATCTGAGGGTTGTGTCTCTTGAGCCAAGAATATCCTAGTACCACTGGGACTGCCGGGGAGGAAATTAACAGAAGGGAAATCAACTCCTCGTGGAAAATACCAACAGTAAGCTTAACGGGTTCGGTCTCATGGAATATTACTGGTTCAGATAAAGGTCTACCATCTATGGCCTCAACGGCCAAGGGTGTATCTCTCAATTGGAATGGGATACAATGCTTATTAGCGAAAGTTTGGTCTATAAAGCTTTCTGCTGCTCCAGAATCTAATAATGCCATCGTAGCAATAAACCCCTTTTCCCAAGCTAGAGAGACAGGAATCAGAAGCCTATGGTCTTTTTTATTATGCATAGAGGACAGTAATGAAACACCCAAGGCCCGTCCTCTAAGGGAACTTAGGTGCGAGCGTTTCCCGGACGATTAGGGCAACTAAGACGTAGGTGACCTCTCCGCCCGCAGTATAAGCAGAGACCCTCCCTTCTTCTGTACTGTCTCTCAGCCTCAGATAAGCGAGTATTGCCTATTTGCATAGGTTCTGGTGGAGTAGGATTATAGGAGTCAGGGTTCTGAAATGAGGGAGCGAGTCTTACAGGAAGTCTAGTAACTCTTTCCCGAGTGTTCTGCCTCTGTCTCATGCGTTCATCTATTCTGGAAATGAAGGATACTAAATCCTCTAAATTTTCCGGAAGTTCTCTTGTGGCAATTTCATCTAGAATTTCATCAGACAACCCATTCAAGAAGACATCCATAAAAGCTTGTTCGTTCCATTTCACTTCTGCTGCCAATGATCTAAACTCTAGAGCATATTCTACAAGGGTCCTATCCTGTTGTTTAAGGCGTAACAGGGATCTGGCCGCATTAATCTTCCTCCCTGGGGGGTCAAAGGTTCTTCTAAAAGCCGTGACAAACGCAGTGTAGTTGTAGACTAAAGGATTGTCATTCTCCCAAAGGGGATTGGCCCATCTAAGTGCTTTATCTATTAGTAGGGTTATAATAAAGCCTACCTTAGCCCTGTCAGTGGGGTAAGCCCGGGGTTGTAGTTCGAAATGTATACTTATCTGGTTTAAAAAACCACGACAAGCATCAGGCGAACCCCCATATCGTAATGGTGACGTGACATGGGAAGATGCGCCTACAGTGGCTACTTCCAAACCAGTACTTAGCGAGTGGCTAGCAGTGGAACGTATTTCTTCAGACTGGGTACTGGAGCGTGTCAACAAAGTTTGTAACGCTAAAGCCATTTGGTCCATTCTATGGTCCATGGCC